TGGGGAGACTCTGCCTCCACTGGCACCCCACTCCCCAGCCCCCACTCCCCGAACTCTGTCCCTATTCCTGTCCCCACTCCCCAAACTCTGTCCCCACTGGTACTCTGTCCCCTGCTGCAGAACCCTGTCCTCTGCCCTCCCAGCACCCTGTTCCCTCTCCTCTGCCCCCACAAAACGTATAATTATAAATGCTTAATTTTTGGGGAGACTCTGCCTCCACTGGCACCCCACTCCCCAGCCCCCACTCCCCGAACTCTGTCCCTATTCCTGTCCCCACTCCCCAAACTCTGTCCCCACTGGTACTCTGTCCCCTGCTGCAGAACCCTGTCCTCTGCCCTCCCAGCACCCTGTTCCCTCTCCTCTGCCCCCACAAAACGTATAATTATAAATGCTTAATTTTAGATTTAAATAGCATGAATAAAAAACAGACCATTTATTTCATAACTATAAACGCATGATTTTAATTTTATATATCGCATAATTTAAAAATAAACTGTTTATCAGAGTGTGTAAGTAAGGGCTGGGGATAGCAAGTGATGGACAGGAGGAGAATAGAGAGGGCGGGGCTTCAAGGAGGGGGCAGGGCAGTAAATCTTCGCCTGTTCTGAGATTTAAAAAGTGATCTTGGGTGTTAAAAGTTTGGAGAACACTGCCGTAGAGAGCAGTGTTACTGTAACTCATAAATCATTTTTATCATCTAAAAATCATGTTTTTGGCCACGTTGCCTATAAATATGTTTTGGAAGGTAGGAAACCATTTACTTTTCCAGTGCATCCACTTTCTGGTTTGTTATCTTGAGATGTTCTCGAGGGTTCTCCTGCTTGTATTACTTACAATTTTTAGCAATTAAGAACTTGATTTGGAACAGTTGCAGATATAATGCAGCATAAAGAAAGAAGTGGGCCTAATTGTGGGCTTGACAGTAGTGTCGCTAATACATATCCACATTAATACCCAAGTACAGATGGTGGATTAATACTGTACAAAGCCATTCTAACAGTTAGGGTTTACCAATCTCAGAATAAATAAAAAATAATTTTATAAAGAGATGCAATTCCTAAAGGATATTTTCTCAAATAGTTGCTGTTTTAAAAGAAAAATGAAAGCATCTCTTAGCTGAGATTTGTATTGAAGCTATAGATTAGTGAGAGAGCCTGGTTTTGGATTTTGAAGGGGGGTGTGTTTGTCTTTTCTAATTATAGTCTGCAGACTGTGTATATAACTGGAATAGATACATTCTGTCCTCCCCCCTGCTGTTATTTGGGTCTGGGAAAGAAAATAGCCCCACTGCCATCAATCAGATTTAGAGCTGAGTGGAAATGGGAATTCACAATCTGTGGGAAATTCTGAAACTTAAAAAATAAAAATTATGAAATGAGGAAAGATCAAATTTCCCACAGAAGGGGAATTCTGACATTTTGTTTAGAAAAAGTCAAAACAACAGTTTGATTTGATCTTTTCAAAAATATTTTACTCTGCCTGGAGCTTTGGCTTCCCTGACCTAGGATAACAAAGGAGACTCTCACCCTGGTGGGGAGCAGGGAAATCATCGACTGGAAACAGTTTTTCAACAGAAAATTGAAAATTTCTTGCAAAATTGAAATCTATGGAAAATGTCATTTTTATATAAAGTGTCAGAAAATCATTCCAATGGAAAATTGTAAACCAGTTTTAATCAGACTTTCACCTGTGTGTTTCACTGAGATTTTACAAATAAAAGCCCTTGGCCTGCATTCCTCCCTTCCAAAGAGAACTCCCACTGACTGAATTGGGAGTGCTATCTGAGGGTGCGTCTACACAGCGCCCTAAATTTGAAATAAGATATGCAATTTGCGTTATGCAAATTGAGTATCTTATTTCGAATCGATTTTGAAATACCTTATTTTGAAATTTGGCACGTCTACTTCTATTTCAAAATAACGTGCTATTTTGAGACATCCCTTAGCCCTTGTGGGATGAGGGTTACTGGGATGCCGAAATAGCGTACCTTTTATTTTGAAAAATATTTTGAAATAATGGGCGGCTTGTGTAGATTAGCTATCTTGAAATAGCTATGCAATGTACCCTAAGTGAGCGAGGCATGCAGGACTGGGCTTTCGGTTAGAAGAAATAATGAAGCTATGCTGGAGCATTTTCTGGTGTGTTTACGATGCAGGATTTCTTAGAGGGCTTTTCTTGTTTTGCAGGTGAAAGTTTGGAACACCAGCAGCAGCTTCTGCTTTGTAACTTTTACAGAACATACCAGCAGCATCTCTGCTGTAACTTTTACCTCCACTGGTTATGTCGTTCTGAGTGCTTCCTTGGACGGAACAGTGCGAGCCTTTGATCTTCACAGGTAAATCCTCTTTAAGCCTTTCTGCATCACCCAATTTTGTCTAGAAACTTACTTATCAGGTTGTTTGCAGTTGGACTCTAGTTTATTGAAATGTCAAGCACTCAGCTCCAAGGCTTGATTGAGGACTATGGCTTCATTTTTTTTAATCTTGTGTATTCACTTCAAGTCTCTAAATCAGTGATGAGCAGTCTAAGCTAGTGAGTGGCCTTCCTTCATCAGTGTGCTGCAAGATTGTTGTAACCAAGGCGGCGTCCTGGGATAGGTTAGTTTTTGCTAACTCTGCTTGCATATCAAGAATTTGCCTGTTGTAATCCCTCTCTCTGGGGTATCTGGTATTGGCCACTGTTAGGAGACGGGATACTGGGCTAGATGGACCTTTGATCTTACCCAGTATGGCTGTTCTTATGTGAGGAGGATGAGGAGGACTGAACTGTAGTAGCACTTTGATTGGACACAGAAGGAGCGTATGGCTCTCATAGTCAATGATTTGTCCAATCAGCACACACCTCACTTAAAGTACCTTTGACATTTCCCAGCAGGGAAAGCTCACAGAGCTGCAAGGGAATCCCAAGAAGCGCAGGGATCAGCTCTGCCTTCCCACAGCACTGCACTGTCAACAGAGGAGAAATGTCGACAATGGGAGGCAGAAAAACTGGTTTCAACGTTTTTCACTTTTGCACGTCGACAGCCCTTTTGTTGCCAAACCTTCCCTGTGTAGATGTAGCCTCAGCAAAGGAAACTTCTAAAAGAAATGAACATATTGTTGCTGATCATTCAGCAAAGGTGTGTGTTTAAAGACACATGAGCTATCCATTATTTACATATGTATATGTAAAAGAAACAAGCATCTTCAAACAAGAATATAGATATTTTTTGGATTTTTTTGGAGATTAAAAATAGCATCTTAGCACGTTCCCCAGATTCTGCAGTACAGAGGTCCCTGAGTTATTTTCAAACTTATTCATATGAGACAGTCATGTGTAACTCTGCTGATAGAACAAAAATGTCCTTTTCGAATGTCTGTTTTAATTTCTGTATGTAGTAGCTTTGTTAAATGTACTCCAGATTTAAATTCTTACACTTCTTGGTTTAAAATGCTATTTTTAAAAAAATACAAAATATTGAAGTGTGAAATATAAAAATTGAATTAATATAGTCTTAATTATTTAAGATGTAGTTAACATTTTTTACATCATATTTTTGTATTGTTTACAACAGATACCGCAATTTTCGCACCTTCACTTCTCCACGACCATCCCAGTTCTCTTGCTTAGCGGTGGATTCCAGTGGTGAGATTATTTCAGCTGGTTCTCAGGACTCGTTTGACATATTTGTCTGGTCAATGCAGAGTGGCAGACTGTTAGACGTAAGGAACTGAGATTGTTCTAGAGCACTCACATTTAACATAGAAAGCGCTGTGGTTATGTTAAATGTATTTTTGGATTAGTTGGTTCTGTCTGAGGCTTATGATCTAGTATTCATTTGCTGAGTAGGAGCTGATGCTATCTTTCTAATCCCTATTAGCCTCCCCACTCCAGGCAGACTATAATGTGGTACTTCTGGACCATGTTATGTTTATGACAGGAGCTCGCCAGCCACGTGGAACCGCACGCTGTGCATCTGCAGACCGCGCTGCGCGGCTGCGCCAGGCTAAAATCTACTCGCCACAGGCGAGTAGATTACATTAATTGTCGAGCCCTGTTTATGACTGTGGGGAAAGGGTTAATTTTCAGCATTCTTGAGAGGCTGCCTGTAAGAACAACCTAGGAGGGAGCTACCGGACCTTTCTAGCTTCTGGATGAGCACAAATGGCTTCTGATTGAAAGGAAAGAGGGAAGATGCATGCAACCTGAAAATGGACTGATGGACTACATTAAAGTGTGTTAGCAGTTGAGAAACCTTCTCCTCTCCATCTCCACCGTCATGCTTGGGACAAAACTTCCCCCGTGTTGTCCACTTCGTGTAATGTCAAAATTGTAGGGAGAGTCTCATGACTAGAATTAAACACCAGAGCTGGATTTTACCATGCTGAATGGCAGGCTAGAAGCAATAGAAGTGAAGAAACTTGTGGTTTTCATGAAAATGTTTGGGGTTAAATGCCCCTTTCTCCACTGTTGTGGCTTTAAGATCCTGGATGCTCCTGAAAGATTAGTTACTTATGGAAATACATGACTGTGTAGGGGGATGTTCACCACCTCCATGCCTTCCATTGGCTTATTGGGCATGGGTATGATCATGCCTTAAACATTCACACAAATGTGAAAGCAAATTAGATGAAGTGCACCCTTGTAGCCAATAATGCTAACGGCATATTGGGATGCATTAGTAGTATTGCCAGCTGATCTAGGGAAGTGATAATTCCCCTTTATTTGGCACTGGTGAGGCCACATTGGAGCATTGTGTCCAATTCTCCCCACCCCCAATTACAGAAAGGAGGCGGACACATTGGCAAAAAAAAAATGATTGGGGGCTGGAGCACATGGCTTACGAAGGAAAGCTGAGGAATTGGACTTACTTAGTCTACGGAACAAAAGAGTGAGAGGGGATTTGATAGCAGCCTTCAACTTCCTGAAGGGAGGTTCCAAAGAGGATAGAGAGAGGCTGTTCGCAGTAGTGACGGATGGCAGAACAAGGAGCAATGGTCTCAGGTTACAGTGGGGGAGGTCTAGGTTGGACATTAGGAAAAACTGTTTCAGTAGGCTGATGGTGAAGTACTGGAATGGGTTACCAAGGGAGGGTGGTGGAATCTAGATCCCTAGATGGCTTGACAAAGCCCTGGCTGGGATGATGTAGATGGGATTGATTCAGTTCCTCTGGCTAGTTAGTAATACATTCAAAAAATCCATTATATCCCTGAATTCTAAGTTGATCCTCTTTTAACAAGAAAGCGAGGGCTATGGCATTCTGTTATCTAGTTTCTATTTCCTGTCCTTTAAGATTCAAAGGAAGTGTAAAAATCTGCCCAGTGACCTAGATCCTCACTGCTGTTCCACATTCTTCTACACTCAACCCCCTTGGTGAGCCCCTACCACCTTCACTTGGACCAATTGCAGAGTCCCATTGGCTCCTGCACATTGAACTCCACCAACGAGCTCCTATGCATCTGGATCCCCCCACCTGTGAGCTGCCCGTACCTAGATTGCTTCACACAGAATCCTTTCACCCCACAACTAAGCCCCTCCACACTTGGATCCTGTTGGGCTGAGTCTGCCTGGTGTGCCTGGCATGGGGCTCCTGTCCTGAGCTGCTTTACCTACTACTCCCGAGGGAATTCTTCTGTTGAGAAAATAATATGCTCCTTAATATAGGTACTAAGAGTGTCTATAGCCAGTGGACATAATCACAGTTTTTGGAACATGATTATCTGCTGAACTCAGGCTTGTTACATTATTCCATATTATTTTTTTTCTTTCTTTCTCCATTAGGTTATATCAGGCCATGAAGGCCCCATCAGTAGTCTGTGTTTTAACCCAATGAGGAGTATCTTAGCTAGCGCATCTTGGGATAAAACAGTCAAACTCTGGGATATGTTTGATAGCTGGAGAACGAAGGAGACACTAACACTGAATTCAGATGGTAAACTTCATTTACTTCTATCTAACTTGCCATGCAGATGCAGTTCTGAATGAACTGTGGTGTTCTATAGATATTCTCAATATATTTTTGATAGATGTTGAGTTTAGGCAGCATTTAGTCTTGGAATTTTCTGTACTGCACACAGAGAATTCATGTCCTGTGCAGATTTCTTTGCTTTCTCACAGAAAAATGACTTTCTGATGGGAAGCAAAGGGAAGTGATAAGAGCAGTCAGGTGCTCCTCCCCAACAACATGGGCATGTTATTTAAAGTGCCTGGAGCAGCCAGTGAAGAGAGAAATCACTGAAGGAGTGGGTGAGGCTTGGGAACATCCTGGACTGTGCCAGAGCAGATTCAATCCTCACCCATCCAACCCTTGTCTATCTGGATTCCCCATGCCCAGAAGAACCCGTCACCAAGCCTTATACCTTGAATCCTCCTCCCCATCCAGCCCAGGTCTCCTACCCTGACTCCAGCTCAGCTGCTAGTCCCAACTGGGATGGGGGAGGAATGCATTTCCCTTGCATGGAGCAGCCAGTTTAGAGCCACCCCCAAAAACTTCCCTTGGTGCTGCATACCCTTCTCCCTGCTTCTTGTCCCTATTGTTCCTCAGCTGCGTGGAGAGGAGGTCACTGTACAGGTAGCTGCTCCCTGTGCATCCGGATACCTCATACCTAGACTCCCCACCTAAGTTCCCTCTCAGGTGTGTGCCTGTTCACAAAAAGTTCTAAGCCCACGCACCTCCTTCAGCTCTGGTGGCCGCCACATGGCTTTGATGGTGAGGCTGCATGACAGGCGGCTGCCCCTTGAGCTGGAGCCGAGCCTCTGTGAGGCTGTTTTGGGTCCAGCTCCGGTGGCTGGGGCCAGAGCCATGTGGTGGGTGGCTGCTCCCTCATTTTCTTTTGTTGCTTTTTTAATTATTCATATAAAGCTTGCATGCTAATGAATGACTGTGATGCAGTCTAATGCACTTTGTCACCGTGACTTCCTGCAGGTAGCATGCGTCTGTACAGCCAGTGAACACAGAGCTGTGTGGGGTGGGAAGGAAAGGGCGGGACTGAAGACCCAAGACTGTTGTTAATCAGAGCGTCAGACGTGTGCAGCAGTAACACATGCCAGCTTTGCTGCAGGCTGGGATTTCAGATGCTTTTCCGTCATGAATGTTTCCAAGGCAGAAATGGAATAAAGCTAGTTGTGGGGGAGAAGAAGGGGGGGAAAGGCTTTACATATGCTGCCCCTTGCTGGAAGAGACTGGGATAGTGTGAGGTTGGGCATGGGGCATAGGACCTGGTGCTGTTGGATCCATGCTGTAGAACGAGTAGATGTGGTAATTGGTACCATGCTAGTTACACAACATTGTGCCAGCGGCACCACTGGTGCTCCACAGCGAGGGACCAGAGCTCCATAGTGCCAGACAGTACAGACCCAGGACAAAAAGCCAGCCCTGCCAGCAAGGGTTCCCAAAATACTCCTATGTCCCCGATCCTTCCACAGTGAGATAGGCGCTGGTAGAAAGGAGGGGCCAATGGGTAGGGTGCTGCCGTCGGACTTTGCAGACAGTGGTATGGGGTAAGGATGTAAACAAGTATTTGACTAGCTGACTACCTGATAAGCAGGAACTCTAGCACTATCGACTACTTGCTCATTTCCCACCCCCCACACTCCTGCCACTCTACACTATTAAAGGGATAGGAAGCCGGCGCAAGAGGTTGCTGGCTGTCTCCCTGGTCCCAGGTCTCAGCACAATTCCCCCGCCCCACTTCTGCTCTGCATTTTTAAAGGGACAGGGAAGCCGGTGCAAGTGCTGAGACCCGGTACCCAGCTTCTCTGTCCCTTTTAAAAATGCAGAGGCAGTGGGAGTGGGGTGTGTGCCGGGACTAAGGATTCTCTTGTGCCGTCTTCCCATCCCTTTAATAGTGCAGAGTGGCAGCGGGGACTTGTGCGGAGACCTGGCGTGAGCTGGGAGTGAGCGCTGAAACTGCCCTTCCTTATTGACTAATCGAGTAGTAGCCAACTAACCACTACTTAACACCCCTAGTATGGGGGTGAGTCACTTAGTCTCTAATTCCCCTGTGTACAGTTGTGAGGCCACATGCATTCGCCATTGTGAGGTGGTCAGATATTGGAGTGAAGGAGGGTGAGGTGAGTTCATTGGTAGGCAGACTGCATGTGTCCCAGTGAGGTTAGGGGAGTGCCATTAACACAGGCCTTGTAAACCTGAGCTCTGATGCCTTCAGGAAGGAGTCATGCTTCCTTCAGTTGGTGCAGCTTCTCCTTCACCTGGCTGTTGGTCTCTCGCCATGTGCTCCTCACATTGGACCTAGCTAGCCCCTACCTCATGCCTTGCCCCCTATTTGTCCCCATGTGCCTGGGAGGGGGAGGCGGGCGGGCAAAGAATAGCTACAGCACAGCGTTAATTATCCCATAACATAGATGTCTAAGATATTTGTCAGCAACTGGTGGGTGCAACGGTGGCACACATTTGAATGAGTGCACATGACCTCAATATTGGTGCACATGACACAATTCACTCCACTCATGGATCGAAAAATCTTAAAGGGAACACTGGTCCCCGCCCCATCCCCCAGCATCTGTATCTGCATCCCATTAGCAGCTTCTAGTACTAGACCACCTGCCGTGCCCCATGGAACCCCCCTCAACAAGCTCCTATGCATCCAGATTCCCCCCACTGCTGAGCTGCCCATACCCACATTGCCTCATACAGAATCCTTTCAACCCACACCTGGATACCCTCTCGACTTGGACCCCTGTTGGGTTGAGAGAATTCTTCACCAAAATATTATAAATTTCTGTCCCTCCCGCCTCCCAAAATAAAAGTTCTGCACACATTCTAACATTCTGCAAATGGTATTTGTTGATAAATAAAGGCAGAGGCTCCAGCATTGCAGTAGGGAGTACAGGCCACTGCCTGCATGAAGGTAGGAGATATCCCTGTGGCCCAGCCCCTTCTCCTCAGACACAGACCTTGGACAGACTTGACCATTGAGCTGTGCCAGAGTTGGATGCTGCCCCAATGCTAAGTCTGTGTTCTGAGGGGTGAAAGGACAAGGGGCTGAGCAGCAGGGTGATATCTCCCATCTTCATGCAGCCAGTGGCCTGTGATCTACATTGCCGCACCAGAGTCGCTGCATTTATTTACTGACAAAATTTGCAGAATTTTAAAATATTCGTGTTAGCTCCCAGGTTTTAGTCAGCTCAGAATTGCATTTTGTTATAAAAATGTGAATGTATCCTTTATTATAGTCCAAAAAAAGTGTGTTAAGACTGGAATATATTTTTATTCATCAACCAAATTCTCTGCAGTTCTTGCTGTTGCTTTCCGCCCTGATGGCAATGAGCTTGCAGTTGCTGCCTTGAATGGAGAGATATCTTTCTGGGATCATGAAAATGCAGTGCAGACGGGATCAATTGAAGGAAGACACGATCTTCAGATGGGAAGAAAAGAGTTAGACAAAATAACAGCCAAACAAAGTGCTAAAGCAAAGTAAGTAAAATATTCGGGTAGCAACGACAAGAAATTGACAGTGCTCATTTGCTCCTATGAATATTCCTCTTAGCTTTAAGTGAGAATTTCAGAATTTAGCTGAATATCTTGAGTCTGAGATGGTTTTAATAACTTGAATATCTTGTGACTGAATGTGCTGCCCACTAATTTCAAACCTTTTTTTCCTGATATCTTCTTCATATGTCATTGTCACTTACACATCTAATCCTGATCAAATTCTGTCACCTAACCTTAATTCATTTATAGCCTATTAAATCTTTTGTGTCATGCTGTGCATCATTTAGCAGTGTCAGTTAAAAGCAGACAATTGCATTTTTGTGGATATCTGGTATATAGCAGGTGATTCATTTCAGAACATGTAATAGGAGCTCCTGCTGACTTCATTATCCAGACAATGTGCCTCCTGAATGCATTAGTAATAGTCACATTTTTAAAAAAAAAGACACAAACAGTAAGTACACTTGCTATTGGAATGCCTCTGATAAGCAGTCTTTCCTCTCACCCCCCAAAATGGAGGCAGCTCTATTAAAAATATATAACTTTTAGTTATGAATTCCAATCAGCTGCTGTCTTCAAAACAGAGCTCATCATTTAATACTCATTTTTTTCTGTCTCTTCTGAATCACCTTGATCCCAGGTAAGACCAGACCTTTGGGAAGAAAGCAAATCATCTGTAGTGGATATTTGTCTCATATATGGCTTACTGCTCACTCATGTTGATGCACATCCATGCAGTAAGCATAGTTGCAGGAGTGTATGTTAGTGATGGGTTGTTGAGTAGGGATGTAAATTCCCATTAAGAATGTCAACCGGTTAAACCATTTTAATCATTTAACCAGTTAACCAAGGGCTACTACAAAGCAGCTTGGGATTCTGTGGTGGGGACTGCTACCAGAGGTCCTGCCAACTAGCCTGCCATGAAAGGGGGGGGCTTCTGCAAGCCTGGGTGGGGAGCTACTTCTGTCCTTGGTTAACTGGTTACCTCGGTAAGCCTATCAAGAAAGCTAATGTTTACCAGATAACTAGTTAAACTTTTACATCTCTGGTGTCGAACAGAGACTGGTTTGTCTTGGGATTTATGTTTAATGAGGTAAGAAAGGTGAGCTAGATGGAAAAGCCCAGGATAATTGTTTTGCTGTTGACATGACATGGCTGCATTACAAGTGGTAATAATATTTAGCATTTACATCTTCAGAACCCAATACAAATATTAAATAATCCTCAGAATACCTAATGAGGTAAGGAAGTACACCGACAAATCTTTTGAAATTTCCAAAGTGATAATTCACAATACAGGCAGTCCCCGGGTTACGTACAAGATAGGGACTGTAGGTTTGTTCTTAAGTTGAATCTGTATGTAAGTCGGAACTGGCCAGTTCTGACTTACATACAGAATCAACTTAAGAACCCCAGGCGTCCCCAAGTCAGCTGCTGCTGAAACTGATCAGCAGCTGATTCCAGGAAGCCCGGGGCAGAGCAACTCTGCCTGGGGCTTCCTGTAGTCAGCGCTGGTCAGTTTCAGCAGAAGCTCACTTGGGGACGCCTGGGGCAGAGCAGCTGGGGTGCTACTGGACCAACCCAGCAGCACCCCATCTGCTCTGCCCCAGACGTCCTGATTCAGCCGCTGCTGAAACTGACCAGCAAAATGTTCATAAACATTTCATTTTCGGTGCACGTTTGTGATTAATCAAAATTTGTTTTCCCCATGAAATGAAATTAGTCTCTGACAAAAGTCAAAGTAGTTTGTAAATGTTAAGCTAGTCAATCAAGGAACAGAAACAGCAGCACCATGTAACTTAGGTGACCAATCACAGACCTCAATTCAAGGAATTCTGATTAGGTGCCCAAATGCTTTCTTTGTACAATTCACCTAACCTTCTTAGACTCAAGTATGTTTGTAAAGATGACCTGTAGAACCTGTGCCGAGGTGCGGTCACAGAGCACCTCTTGGGGGTGCTTCCCAGGATGCTGACAAAGCCACTGACACTCTCTTGCTCTCTGGTGCTTCTTACTACCCTATCGTGCTGGGCTAGCTCAGCTGGTCTCCCCCAACCACGGCACAGAGCTGAGATTACCACCCTCCTCAGGAGCAGTACAGACACTGAAAATCTTCAGGTCCAAGGAGAATGCAGTTTTGGGCCCAGCTTCCTGGGATACCACTTCCCAAATGGGATCAGAACCCCAAATGAATTTTTTGCGTAATCCCCTTTAATAATGAAAAGAGGATGTACACACTGATTGCTCCCCCAGGTAACAATTATTTACACTGGGCTTGCTAGTCAATAAAAATGATTTTATTAAGTACAAGCAGTAGGATTAAAGTGATTATAAGTGTAAAGAGGCAGAGCAAAGTGAATTACAAACAAAATAACAAACACATAGCTAATTCTAACACTAAAACCTTAGTACAAGCTTATACTAAAATTATTCTTACTCCAGCTAAGCTGCCAAACTAGGGGAGTCCCCTCTTCCCTGGGGTCTCGAGTTATCCTCTTGGGTGTGCCATGCCAGCCAAAGACAAAGAAATTGCCAGTTTCCCATTGTTTTATAGATTCCACTTTGGGCAGGAATTCTGTTTCTACATTCCATCTTTACATGGAAAATCACAGCTGGTCAGACCCTACCCGTTGTGTGTGTGTGTGTGTAGGGGCGGGAAGGGGAGTCACTTGACTTCCTAGGACCAACCACTACTAAGACTTAAAAGACAAAGAAGGCAGTTTACAAGTCATCTAGACATTGAGGGTAACTCCGTTGATGGTTTTTATTTGCACATTTAAAACCATAAAGCATTCCATATGTCATATTTCCAATCTTACATACAAAAGGAACCCGCCCGGTGCCCCTGGTCTGCTGGAGACGGTCTCCAGCAGACCAGGGGCACCGGAGCAGCTTACGAACGGGGCTTTCTCGCCCCGACTTCCGGGGCGAGAAAGCTCCGTTCGTAAGTGCGGATCCGACGTAAGTCGGATCCGCGTAAGTCGGGGACTGCCTGTAAAGAATTTGTGAAGTATTCAATCATGGCAAAACAGTTCTGTACATTAAATAAATTTATGACTCTGTAAGATAAAACTAGAAAAGGTTTTCTTTAAATCATATAGCAACTATGGTTCAGTGTTAGGGCCCTACTAAATTCACAGTCCATTTTGGTCAATTCCATAATTTAAAATAATAAATTTCATTATTTCAGCTATTTAAATCTAAAATGTCATAATATTGTAACTGTAGGGGTCCTGAACCAAATAGGAGTTGTGTGGGTATTACAAGATTATTATGTGAGTGGGGGGGCTGCGGGAGTTGCAGTATCCTATCCCTACTTCAGTGCTGCTGCTGGCGGTGGCTCTGCCTGTAGAGCTGGGCAGTTGGAGAATGGCAGCTGCTAAGGCAAAGCCGCTGTCAGCAGCAGCAGTGCAGAAGTAAGAATGGTGTAGTACTGGCACCCTTACTTCTGCACTGTTGCTATCTGCAGAGCTAGGCCCTCAGTCAGCAGTGCCCCTCTCTGGCCACCCAGTCTTGAAAGTAGCAGAACAGAAGTAAGGGTGGTATTGCCACCCTCACTTCTGAACTGCTGCTGGCAGTGCTCTGCTTTCAGAGCTGGGTGCCAGGTCAACAGCCGTTGCTTTCCAACCATCCAGCTCTGAAGGCAGTGCAGAAGTAAGAGCAGTAATACTGTGACCCCACTGCAGCTTCCTTTTAGGGCAGGACCTCAGTTTGAGCAATCCTGGTCTTCCCTATGAAATCTGCATAGTATAAGTTAAAAGCACACAAAACACCAGATTTCACAGGGGAAGACCAAATTTAATGGTCTGTGATGTGTTTTTGTGGCCATGAATTTGGTATGGCTGTTAATTGTTTTTACATTGTATTAGTATTGAATGTTTGCTCAAAGTTCGGAAGTAGAAGTGAAATTATTCATTATATATTTTTTTCAGATCTTTCACTACTCTGTGTTATTCAGCTGATGGACAGTCTATTCTGGCAGGTGGATTATCAAAGTTTGTCTGTATTTATCATGTGAAGGAACAGATTCTTATGAAGAAATTTGAAATCTCATGTAATCTTTCCTTAGATGCAATGGAAGTAAGTGACTATCTCAGTTTGTTTTGTTGAATATTTTAAAGACTGTTTGGTTCTGGGACAGTGTATGGTAAGTGAGGTTTGCAATATGCATGTTTTTGTTTGTTCATTTTGTTGGTATTGAGTAGGAGACACACACACAGGTGGAACCACCAAAAGAAGGAATAAAATCATGTAACTGCTAAATTATAAGAAATCCCAAAGCAGCCAGAGTACTTGGTCTTGAAAGTACAGATTTCTTGACAATAAATGATAGTAAAGTCAACTTTCAGTAACATTGCATTTGAAGAGTGTGAGATTTTAAAATTACTGATAATCTTGTACTGAATAATTTTCTTTGTTCACAACATACTTGTGCCAAAGAATGGATGCAGCATTGGAGAAGGGGCACAAGAGTTAGAATTATGAATGTAATCTGACAGCTTCATCAAATGCAGGTTTTAAGTTCATTTAAAAGTAACTACAGTATAGCAATATCTTCCATCACTAACTACAGTATAGAAATATCTTCCATCACTATTCCCATCTTGTTCTTGATTGTTACTTCTTATTATCTGTACTTTCGTTTGTCCTGGCTACTCTCTGAGCAGAGCTGACTTGGACTTTTATGAAATCCGTTAATGATCACTTCAAAATCAAGAAGAGGTTGTTGTAAGAGAACCTGAGGTACACTCCTTCCCTCTCTCACAGTGGCTGAGCATTGACCCCAGAGTAGCGCAAACTTCAGTTTCTTCCAGGAATTGGAGGAGACACTTAGATACAAGTACAGGTTGAACCTCTCTAGTCCAGCAACATCTGTAGTCCAGCATAATTTTAGTTAGCTGGATGTCCACTTATCATGGGTGCGGCCAAGTTTCCAGCAGTCCCATAAAGTTTGTTTACAGCCACCAGTCCTGGCTCTCAGTGTTCTGTGCTGTTGTTTAGCTCTAATTTACCCCTAAATGGCCTCTAAGAGCCCATTAAGCAGTGGAGGTGTTGGTAATGCTTCTAGACAATATTGACCTCCCGTGGTTTGGCAAATTCTCTAGTTCAGCACCAGTCAGGTCCTGAGGGTGCTGGACTAGAAAGGTTCAACCTGTACAAAGCAATAACCAACTACGCTAGCCCCTTAAATGTTTGTGAATTAGTTCAGAGCTGCCTCTGTATGTTACTTGTTCCCTCACTTTTTACATTAGGCTACCCTCTTACCCGTGTTCACATCCCCCAAGAGTTGGGTTCTAGCCCACAGTTTGGGGACCTCTGCTATACATGTATTCTTCAGATACAGAGAATTATGTGATGTTGGAGAGAACTAGTATTATAGCAAATGGAATATGAATATTTTTCAGGAGTATTTGGATCGTAGGAAGATGACTGAATTTGGAAGCATGGCGCTGATTGATGAAGGGACTGGGGATGAGGATGGTGTTGCCATTGCTCTTCCAGGTGTAAAGCGAGGTAAGTTCAGTTGTTAACCCCATAGTTAGTTAATTACATTGCTTTTTGCCATTGGCTCCATGGGATAAAAAACCTTCCACCCCGGTCAGTAGGAGATGGAAAAGGGGTAATACTATTAGATGTGTCCTGCCAAAATTGTTAGTTTTACATTTGCACACTGTTTTCAGTACATAAGAACATAACATAAGAACGGCCGTACTGGGTCAGACCAAAGGTCCATCTAGCCCAGTATCCTGTCTACCGACAGTGGTCAGCACCAGGTGCCCCAGAGAGGGTTGACCGAAGACAATAATCAAGCGATTTGTCTCCTGCAATCCCTCTCCAGCCTCTGACAAACAGAGGCCAAGGACACCATTTTATCCCCTGGCTAATAGCCTTTTATGGACCTAACCTCCATGAATTTATCCAGCTTCTCTTTAAACTCTATTATAGTCCTAGCCTTCACAGCCTCCTCTGGCAAGGAGTTCCACAGGTTAAAAAAAGCATTTCCTTAGTCACTGTCTCCACATCAGTCGCGATGTCATAGCCCTCGTAGTTGCCTCTTTTCCAAGCTGAAAAGACCCAGTCTCATTAATGTCTCCTCATATTATTAATCTTTCCTTGCCTCCGGAAGAGACGCCTCCATAGTCTGACAGAGCAAAGTGCTACACTCTGCATAAGGGGCACTGGGAAGAGAAGACTTTCCTGCCCACGCTAGCGCCAGTACATGAGATCTTGGAGCTCTAAAGGGATATTTCACCGTGTCAGCATAGCAAGGCACTTCAAAGGGGCTCTCCCTGTCTGAAATCCTCCCGCACCGCATGCTCCGCTCTAGATTGGTCTGCCCCTGGCTGATCTCAGCAGTGCTGGAGTGAGGGACGGGGCCGTCATCCCCAGAGACAGCTGCCTCCTCGCAGCAGCAGTGTGCTCAGTGATTGATTGATGAGGCAGTGGGCGGCAGGGACGCAAGTGGACAGGCCCCGGAGGTGGCTTCTTTGCTTTCCTCAGAAACGCTGCTAGTGCCTCTATTTCGGTCAGTCGCCATTCCAGGGAGCAGAGAGCCTGGCTGGGTGACAGGTGACAGACAAGAGCACTGATCAGGCTAATGAGGGCACCTTCATGCTGACACTCTGCACACAAAGATGCCAATTAGGGAGAGAATGAAGTCTAATAGGTACCATTAATCAAGGCAACATACTCTGCACTCAGCCTGGGGTATTCAGGAAGCATAATGCTGCATGCACTGCATGGCTCTCTGTTGGGGCAGGAGTTAAAGCCAGTGTTAATTACAGTCTTCCCTGTGCAAACACTAATCGTTACCTCTGATTAAATGCTCTGCCCCATCGCCCCTGTACATTTCCAGGACTGGCCTAAGGCAGCTGTTTCTGCAAAGTGTGAGCTGTCTGGTGCAAGAGCTGTGTAATGGAAGTTGGTGTCACACCCTGAAGGAGGGTGGCCGATTGCCTTCTCTGCCACCGACTCACTGGGCAACTCCGGCCAAGTCACTTAAGCCCTTTGCACCTTAGGTCCCCTATTAGCGTGGAATATTGTTTGCATTGTCTAGGTAGATTGTAAATGCCACAGAGGAAATCCATCTATCGCCATCTGTGTGTGCAGCCCCCAGTGCAATGGAGCTCTGCTCTCAGCTGCTCAAATAAGAAAATGATAAATTGAGCAGATATTAAATGGCAAAAATTCCTCTTCTCCTGAGTGCAAACAAGGCTGGTTTTAGTCACTGGCACCCTTGGTCTGCCCCAGTGTAAATCGCTGGAGGGTTCACTAACCTCTGGGAAAGGTCTGCTGTGTCCATAGCTCCCCTCCCTCTTCCATTCCCCCGGCAGCAGGGATCGCCAGCACCTTGCACTGCTCCCCTGCAGGGAGTGATCACCTGCCAGGATTTCTCTCTCTGCGGGATGTGGGAGGTTTTACCATGGAACCACATTTAATAACAAAATATAGCTTCTATGATGAGGTAACAGGCTCGGTGGACATGGGGAAGTCAGTAGATGTGACATACCTTGACTTTAGCAAGGCTTTTGATACGGTCTTCCACAGTATTCTTGCCAGCAAGTTAAGGGATTGTGGATTGGATAAATGGATGGTAAGATGGATAGAAAGATGGCTAGAAGGTCGGGCCCAGCAGGTAGTGATCAACGGCTCCATGTCAGGATGGCAGTTGGTTTCTAGCGGAGTGCCCCAAGGTTTGGTTCTAAGACCGGTTTTGTTCAATATCTTTATTAATGACCTGGATGAGGGGATGGATTGCACCCTCAGCAAGTTTACAGATGACACTAAGCTAAGGGGAGAGGTAGATACGCTTGAGGTGACATGTTGTTGAATATTTTTTCACAGAGGTAATAGGAAAGAGATGTACTGTAGCCTAGTGATAAAACATAAGACTGGCTCTCAGACTTAAGTTCCTGGCTCTGCCATTGACCTGCTTTATGACCTTGGGCATGTCATTTTTCCTCCCTCTGGTTCTCCACCTACACTTTTTGTCTTGTAATTGTAAGTTCATCAGAGCAGGGGCTGTCTCTGTGTGGAGCATCTAGCACATCAGGGTCCCATTCACAGTTGAGGCCTCTGGATACTGTTGCAATACAAGATGAATGATTACATTTGCGTGTGTGGTGAACATCATGTCCAAAGTGCTACATGGCACATTGCTCGTGTTTGAGATCAGAATAACAGGATAAGAAAAATAGCAAAGTTACTTTGAGCTGAAAGTAAATGTGATTCCTCAGGATTTGTTTAAAGTAATTTGTTGGTATCTCTCATGTTTGCCTGTTGTGCAGTAGTTCAGCATTCCTTTGTCAGAGTTGTGTCTAATGATGACAGTAATTCCAGGGGGAGGATTCATGTCTGCATTGTGAAAATTTAGTTCAGGGGTGGGGAACCAAAGGTGTGGGTTCCAGATGGGGCTCCCAGCTTGCTTAGATCTGGCTTTCAGGGCTCAGGGCCCCTCCTCCCCATATGGGGAGCCCATGATGGCATGCCAACCCCTCAGCTGTCCCACCCTGGGGCTGGAGCACACAAAAGCCACTAGCATGTGTCCGCCTAGGTTCTGATGTGCAAAGGGAACATAGGGAGTGTCTTTCTCCTTCAGTCAGGGGCCGCATCAGTGAGGGGATTGTTTTTTGTTTTATTTTCTTCTCACTTGTGTGCACCCCCCAACTGATTTTTCTGTGGGTCAGTGGCCCCCGACCCAAAAAAGGTTCCCCAACCCTTATTTAGTTGGATGCGTTGATGACTTGCTTTTCATTTCTTATTTCAGGTGACATGAGTTCTCGGCACTTCAAACCAGAGATAAGAGTAACATGCCTACGTTTCTCTCCTACTGGTAGGTGTGAACAGTAAATGTAGTTTATCAATATTGTCGATGCCCCCATTCCTACCCTGCTCACACAACCTGCAGAAAGAATGAGTGGTGGGTGAGAACTGCCAGGTGTGAACCTCTAATTTCTGTGTCAATCGTTCAAATTCACCCCAGATTTAGGGTGACACGAACACATTGTCATGTGGTGATTCTCTAGAGTGTTATGGGAATTGAGTTGGTGGCCTCAATCCAGTCACCGAAAACACCAAGCAGAAACCACCATTATTAATTAATATTGTCATGTTTCCCCCTTATTGGCATTCTGTGCAGAGGCACTGGTTTCTTGTCCTTAGAGGTGATCCTTCAGAACATGTTACAATGCTGTTTATCAGGCTTATTGTTGCCAGTGTTATTCCTATGCTCTGAATAACCAGAAGATTTAAGTTCATAGTGCTGTCAAGCTGGCACCTTTCACAGACAGTGTTTTATCAATCCAACCATGCAGTGTTGAGAGACCACCTCTTCCCAAATCACTTTCTCTAAGCAAACAGAACTGTCTTTATGTTTATCACTGCTCCACAGAAAAAAACAAGCATGTTGTGTTTAAATATCAACTGCCGCTTCTCTTTCAGGGCGAAGCTGGGCAGCTACCACCACAGAAGGCCTTCTCATCTACTCATTAGACTCTGGACTGATCTTTGATCCATTTGAGCTGGACATTGACATCACACCTACCAGTGTGCACAAAGTGCTAAGTCAGAAGGAGTACACCAAGGCCATTGTCATGGCCTTCCGGCTGAATGAGAAGAAATTAATTCAGGAGGTCATAGAAACTATACCGTGTAAGGAAGGTAAGAAGGGCTCCCCCTACAGTTGAATTAAGCAAATTTGAGACCTGGATTCCTTTGAGCTGAAGTCTGAGGGCAGAGAGTAGCCCTTAAACTTTTTTTTATTACCAAACATTGTATAATGCAGCAAGCCTACTGTTTGTTTATGAAAGGTTGTATTAATTCTGGACACTAGTCCTTTCTACCTCAGTCCTGATGTGTCTAAAGAGGAAGAGGGTGAGAGTCTTGCAGCTGAAAGTAAGAATGAAAGTGAAGAAATCTGAGGGTGTGTCTAGACTACAGGGTTTTGTCCTCTTTTTTGTCGACAAAACTATACCTGCGTCCACACTGCCTTTGAGTTATGTCGACATAACGTCGACAAAACTCAGCAGTTTTGTCGACGTATGTAAACCTCGTTCTACGAGGAATAACGCCTTTTGTCGACAGAGTTCTGTCGATAGAAGGCATTATTGCATCTACACTGTCCTTTGCATCCACACTGTTATGTCGACAAAGCGGCTTGCTTTGTTGACAGAACTGGATGTAGTCTAGACGCTCTATGTCGACATAAGTTTTGTCGACAGATTCTGCCGACAAAACTTATGTCGACGTAAGCCTGTAGTCTAGACATACCCTGATTTCTGTTTCTTCTCTGCCATTCTTGTTTTTGACCTTGCAGAGGTCACTTAACCTTCTCTGTTCCTCAGGTTTATAGCTGTAAATGGGGATAATGTTCATCTCGCAGGGCTCATGTCTAATTCATTCATGGACCACAAAGTACTCAAAGATGTTTGAATAGAAATGGGTGTAGAAATCATTGTTCTTATTGTATATAATTAATAAAAAAGACACAATTTGCTATTATACATTACAATGCTTAATAATTGCTTATTTGGGGCCATAATTTTCCTGCCCAGAAGAGCTTAAAATGTAACTTCACACAGATAGGAACAGGAGACTGAATTTGTTCAAATAAAAAAGTCATAAAGGAAATCAATTTTCTGATATTTTTATGTAAGCCTGAGGTGTGGGGTAAGGAAGGAAGAAGCATATATAATACAGCAGCAGAAGTCAATGGTCAAAAGATGCAGATTTTTGAGTTGGCGAGTGAGTGCTTGGCATGCTAGGAAAGTAAAATTGTTCCAGGTATGGGGGGCAGCATAGAAAAAGGCATAAAGGCAAGAAGGGGAGGACATGACAAGAGTGAACAGGGTGTGGCTTTGAGATGCGTAGCGCTCAGAAATGTAGGCAGAGCTTTAGGCATGAGAATGAGGAGTTAGAATTTCAGGTAGAAGGATACATGGGATAGGAAAGGGACTCAAGGAAGCAGGCATGGGAGGAACGTGGTGGTCGTAGAAGAGGAAGGCTGTTTTATGTTGGATAGAGAGGAGAACCAGAAAGGTTGGAGAGAATCCAATCTAGTGGGAAAGAGAGCCATGCAATAGTGACTGAGAGGAATGGGAGGGCTTTAGAATTGTTAAAGTTAAGCCATGGAATTCATTGTAGTGAGGTATCAGAGACCCCAAGGGCTTGTGGGGATTCAAAAAGGGTTAGACATTCGTAAAGATGATGAGAAAATTCAGAATGACGTTCGATTGGACTTTTATTTGGAAGGGTTATAAATAAGGCTACGATTTTGGAATGGGTCTTATTAAAAGTCCTGGACAGAACACAGGCAATAAACAAATCATGGAATGTACCCACGTAATCTAGTAATGAAGCCCTGTTACCAATGAGTGAAGCTGAAGGCAGAGAACTCGCTGGCATCTCTTAAAATTATGGAACCTGCAATCTCCATGACACAGTTATGGCTTTAGTTGTGAATTCTCTTGTCTCAGAGCATTGATGTCTACTAACAAACAGAGGTTAGGAAGAAACTAGGTCAGGTTATTCTGGTTCCTTCCTCTGAAACATACTGTACTGGCCAATGTTGGGAACAGGAATAGTGAATGAGATGGAGCACTGTTTTTTTGATCTTGTATGGCATTTCCTATACAGTGAGAAGCAGAAAGATTTTGCTAGAGTTTGGATGTGCAGAGAAAGAGGGGAGGGGTAGAAGAAAACGGTGATGGAGAAAAAGTGACATTTTAATAGGAAAAATGTTGTGGCAGACTCTGTTTTAGTGGCAGATAAGAGGAACTTGCTTTTAAGTCCTTTGGAGGTTGGAAGATTCAGAAAGGAGTATCATACTTTCGGAAGGGCTGGTGAGCGATGTTCATTATACTAGCAGATTACCTCCTGCCAAGTGATGCAGAGAAGTAAACTGGAATAGACCCTCAAAGGACATCTCTTTTTTCCTTCCTTTTCCCCCCACCCTGTTGTTCTATATGGAAGTTTTATGGTTGTTGTTTTTTAAACAGTTGATGTTGTCTGTTCATCGCTCCCAGAGCTGTATGTGGAAAAGCTGCTGGAGTTTCTAGCCTCAGCCTTTGAGACATCTCCTCACTTGGAATTCTATCTTACTTGGGCTCAGCGCTTGCTGATGCTTCATGGACAGAAGCTAAAAACAAGGTGAGTGGACTTGAAATGTCCAGTTTTCTGTGTTTTGATTTTAAGCTAAAGTTTAAAATATTTGTGAGACAGCTATCTCAGATTCTGAAACATACAGCCTAATTAAAGTTACTTAATTATGATGACTTCAAAATACTCATATTTCAGCATATATTGGTCAGTAGGGAAACGTAACATGATTTCTGCAGTAAAGCTGCAGAGGAGGTGCCCCTAGACTCTAGGTAGAACTTTGTAGGGACTTCTAGCTTTAGGTGATATATGCATAAAGAGCTGTAAGAAGACTTGTAGGAATACTGTTCTTAATTACATCAAATGTAAATAATGATTTAACATCCAGTTGGGCAGTGGTTCATGCCTAAGTAGGTTGATTTTGTACTTTCCTTATGTTTTTTATACAGCTGTTAGTTAATCATAGTTAATGCCTGTGATTATTGAAAACAAAATTAGCACATTAACTGTATACTTCTGGGTGGGAAGGGAGGGGGAAAAGGGTTGACGTTCCAGAGCAGACTAGAACCCTGCTCCCCAAGAGGGGCTGAAGATCAGAGCATAGACCCGCTAGCCTATATTTGAAAATACAGAAAACCTCAAATATCTGAATGCTATTCTATTATTGTTTAACTGTTTAATTAAAACTGACTAATCAAGTTTAATTTTTTTAATCTCGCATTTAAGTGATTAATTTTTTTTAAATCGCATGACAGACCTACATTTTTTGGAAAGCAGTATGATGATTTCTGTATTCTGCATTACTGCTGAGTTCCTTTCAGGCAGTTAGACAAGATATGAGTGTTACACTCAGCCCACCTTTCTTTTAGAGCAAGGGTGGCAATAATTTGTAATGGGGGGGCCACTGTTAATATTTTGGTAAGTGATCAAGGGCTGCATTCCTATGGAGAGGTGCAGGTTCTGGGATGGAGGTTAGGATACCGAAGGGAGCTTGAGGTAGGGTACTGGGGTGCAGGAGAGGATGTGGGCTCTGAGAGGGAGTTTGGGTGAAGGGGAGGTAGGTATGATCTGGAGCAGGGTCCAGCAGAGGGTATGGGTGCAGGAGAGGATTCAGGCCTAGGGAAGGAGGGAATGCAGGGTCTTGGGAGGAAGTTGTGACCTGCAGGAGGTGGGAAGTACAGATGGTTTGTTTGGTTGGTGACCTGGGGCATGTAGTTAGGGGAGGAGAGAAGAAGGGATGCCAGAGGCAGGCTCTGGCTAAGAGGTGCTTACCTAGATGGCTCCCAGTCAGCAGCCCTCCAGGAACCTGAGGCAGGCTCCCTGCCTATCTGCTGCAGTTCCAGTCTGCTCTGCTCTGGGCGGGGGAGGAAGGAGGCTTTGCATGCGGCTCCTACCCCCTCAGTAAAATTTCTCAGCTCCTATTGGCTGGAAATTGGCCAATGGAAATTGAGAGGTTTTTCTGGGAAGTAGGAGCAGTGTGCAAAGCCTCCTCTCGCCTATCCTCCTCAGCATCCAGAGCAGAGAGCAGCAGACTTTAAAGCAGCTGTAGCTGATCTGTGCTAAGGGTCCTGGCAAGGTGGCCACAGGCCAGATCTGGCATCTTGCCCAGTCGGATACGTCCTGTTGGCCATATCTTGCCCTACCCCTGTTTTAGAGGTTTTGGGTAACTGGAATGAGGATCTTCAGGGGGTGGCAAATTAAGTCCGATAGCTCTTTCCAACTACTATTTGGGAGTTGCCAGAGGAAGAAGCAATTACATATTCATTTCCTTGCTCTATGGGGTGAAGAGTTAGTATTTATCGCACGTGCAGCCATTTAATGAATCCCAAAACAGCAAGGAAGACTGATTCTTTTTGTTGAGTTTTAAAGTAGAAAAGGATAGTTTGTAAAGTCCAAATTCCTGCCTTGCTTTTCTGAAATGTATACCTAGAGTAAACATCATTATAGCAAACAGAATCAACTCTGCGAAGTTGCTATTTGACCTCAAAATGGAATGGTTTCTCTGTTGGTGATGGGGAGGGAGAAGCATTTGAATAGCTCGGCTTGAAGATGAGTGATAAATTGCATGCATGTGATGTAGTGTGCTAAACTTGTACGCAGTTTTATTGGTAGACACAGCACAGAGTTGCAAGGTCATTTTTATTCAGTGATATTTTAGATTTAGAACATTGGTATGTAAAAATGAGCTAACACTTTAACCATTTTTTAAAAATTTGAAGAATAATGGTGAAAAGGGATTCTAAAACTCCATGTGTAAATATAGGCTAAGCAGTTAATTGCATGCTCTCTCCTTTACAGATCAGGGAAGCTGCTGCCCATAATTCAGTTCCTTCAGAAGAGCATTCAGCGTCACTTTAAAGATGTTTCTAAACTGTGCGTATTGCTGTCCTTTAAATCCTAAAGTTTAAACCATAGCTTTGTACAAAAGCTTAAGGCTCTTGAATGTTGGGAGGGAAAATGTGTATGGTGTATTTTGGTGAAGCAGAACCTAACTTTTTATTTGTTTATTTATTTATTTATTTATTGTAACTTATTTTTACAGCTGTGAGTGGAATCGCTATAACATTAAATACGCTTTGGCCATTTCACAACAACGGGGCATGAAACGTCCTGCAGAAACATCAGTGAGTGAAGAGGAGTTGGAGGAATCTAATAGTGATTATCTTATGGAAGAGGAAACCACACATTCATAACAACAACTTATTTTCCCTATTTATTTTGTTTTGGAGACCTACAGAAGCAGTCATTTGCGCCAGTGGTATTCACTGAGATTAAGTAGCCCTCATAGTGGCTCATTTTGTGTATGTTGTGATATGGGGCTTGGAGTAATCTGCAAAGGTTACAGTAGAAGCTGGCTCATTTTAGGATAACTGAAATGCAATCCATAAAGTCCCTAAAACGTGGCCACTGGCCTCCCTCTTCCCATAACTGAGGGAGGAAGGAAAAATCTGATCAGATAGAAACTCAAACCAAAAGATATTTGTTTGATATTTGTCTGTCAAAGATATTTGTCTGTCAAACAAAATAGAAGCGCAAGTAAAAATATTTTAGTAAAAATATTGTGTTGTGTGTTTATTTTGATAAAATGTATATAAATATACAGGCATTTTAGGTATTGCACATCACCTCTCTGAAGCCCTTGCTGTCACAATATTTCTGTGCCCCTGGATTAAACTCTCTTTAAATGATGTGTGTGTGTCATTTTTCATTAACTATTTGGAAGGTTGCATATTGACCTCAACTTATTTTGAAATGTTATCCTAGCTGGATTTAATAAAGTAGTAGTAGTAATAATTTGCTAAATTCTAAAATTATTCAAACTGTAATCTGAATATTGCCAAGAAAAAGTTATTTGAAATAAATGCCATAGCATAATGTGAACAGATATATGAGCAAAGATTCTGTGCAGTACAGCATTTGCAAGGAATTTAATTAGTTAATGACCAAGGGTGTTGAAGTAAAGATTTATGTCCAGACATTTCCAATCTGTTGAATGCAACTTGTATTACTATGTAACCAAATCAGAACCATAAATACCTGAATGTTTGATTTTTTTTAACATATCTGTTGTACTGCTTCTCATTGTTTAGCATCAAAAAAATCTTGTAATTGTTGCTTTTATCCCACTCCTCCTGCTTTTTGTATGTTTCCATCTCTTTCCTATGTATCAGGATGTTAAAAAAAAACCCGGTATTAAAAGAGTGAAAGGGCTTGGAGTATATGTCTATGGCACTCTGGATTGTTTCTAATTTTTTTAAACCCATGGGCTACATCTAGACTGGCCCCTTCTCCGGAAGAGGCATGCAAAGCAGGCAAGTCAGAATAGGGAAATCCGCGGGGGATTTAAATATCCCCCACGGGATTTAAATAAACATGACCGCTGCTTTTTTTCCGGCTTGGGGAAAAGCCGGAAAAGAGCGTCTAGACTGGCGCAATCCTCCGGAATAAAGCCCTTTTCCGGAGGATCTCTTATTCCTACTTGCAATGTTATTGGACATCAATGTCTTCTAAGAGCCCAGTAAATAGCGGGAGTGTTGGTAATGCTGGCAAACAATACTGACCTCCTCTTCAAATTCTCTGGTTCGGCACCTGGGCCCAGAGGGTGCTGAACTAGAAAAGTGCAACCTATGTGTTATCACAATTACTTCCCCATCATTAACAGTTTCTTGTGTGTGTCTTGCCTCCAATCTAGACTTACTGTCTTACTGTCGATTTGCACAGTACCTGGTAAAAATGGATATCCACTTCAGGGTGATATGTGTATGTGTGTGAGATAAGCCACATTTGTGTTAAATCAGCTTTGATGTTGCCCCTAAATTTGTATGCCTACTGTTCTTGGAGGCTAGTTTGGACCAAAAAGGTAGTACAAAGGATTACATCAGCAGAGGGAGAGCTAAGGTTTTTATTTGCTATGTCAGAAAACATTCAAATTGATAAATACAGTATTTTTGTGAAACTGTACAGCTCAGGTAGCACAATGAAACCCAGATTTCTCTGTGGAAGTCCTGAGAAGTTTCATCAGTTGAAAAGTCAGGCTACGTCTACACTAGTGGCTTCTTGCGCAAGAACAGCTGTTCTTTCACAAAAACTTACCCAGTGTCTACACTGCACAGGCAAGTCAATTTACAGTCTAGCGTTGTAAAACAGGGCTCCTTCTGGAAGAGTTATTCCTCTCCCCAAGAGGAATAAGCCCTCTTGCGCAAGAGCTCTTCCATAAGAAGGCTGTGTAGACAGGCAACATGATTTTCCTGCACAAGAACCTCTATGGCTAAGATGGCCATCAGAGCTTTCTTGCGCAAGAGAGCACCCACCCTGCCATAGACATTCTTGCGTAAAAGCACATCTCTTGCGCAAAAGCACATGCCAGTGTAGATGCGCTCTTGTGGAAGACTTTTTGTGCAAGAACTCTTCCGCAAAATGGTTCTTGCGCAAGAAGCTGCCAGTGTAGACGTAGCGCTTACTCCTTCCAGAAGCGGGTGGTTATCTGCTCCTTTGTTCAATTGAGATAAGATTGAACTATCAGAATAAATGTATTTGTTCTGCTGAAGATGTCCAATAACATTTTTATAAAGTTCTCATAGAGCATGGTGATGAATGAAACCTGAACAGAATGAGCAGCATTAGGCCTAATTTTGCCTCCTGTTTAACCCAGTTTACGTAATTTAGAATGTGGGTAGTTAGGCCTTGAACCTGTGCTGACGAGTGTATGCTAAACTTTATGCACAAGTCCTATCAAAGTCAAGAGGCCTACCTACGTGCCTACAGTTTGCAGGGTTAGACCCTGTCTAAACACACTTGCACCACTCTGCATAAAACAGCTAAGCGGAAGGTGTTGAACATGTTTGGCCTAATATTGCTGCTGGTCTTTGTTGATCTTTGCAGCCTCTTGCTGCACTTCATTATGTGCCACATTTACTCTGCTAATGAGCTTGTAATACCTGTAATGAACTCAGTTTTACCAGTCCCTAAATAGTCAAAAATTGAGAGATTTTTTTAACATGAAAATGTATCTCTGGATTTTTATTTACACTCTAATCTTTGACTAGGGTGTTTTCAAGCTTTTCTCGGAAACTGAGAGGGCAAGAAAATTATCTTTGAAACCAAAGAGCTGCGGTTCGGTTAGTGCCTGTTTTCGGGAGTTGGGGGCTTTCAAGAAAACAGCAAATATCAGCTGTGGCAACACAAACTTGAGCTTAATCGTAAGCCCCATTAAAATGTGCTTTTATTTTAAGGAAAGGTGCCTGTGTGGTAAGCACCAAAGGGCAAGGTGACGAGTTAATGTTTAGCAGACGTATACAGCTCTTTGTGCAAAGGCCGGTCCGGGCGCTCGGTGATCTCTCGCCAGCGCCGTCGAGCATGGCGCTTGCTATAACTCGGGAGGCGCCGTCAGCGCTGCTCTAGCTGGTCGGAAAGCTTGTCTGGCGGGGCTGACGCTTGGAGGGGGCGGGAAGAGGGCGGGGAGGGGGCTGCGCTCTGTGCGGGGTGCAAGAGGAGCAGTGGGCCGGGGCCTCCCCGCCTCTAGCGGGAGCTGTGCAGCTGCAGGCGCGTCCCCTCGCCAGGCCCAGCCCGCTTTGCCGTGGGGCTCGCTGCTGCTGCTGCTGCGCCAGCCCGGGACACGCGGCGCGATGCTGGCTGCGCGGCTGCTGCGGGCCCCGCTCGGGGCAGCCTCCCTGCACAGCTCCGCCCGCCGCCTGCGCGGGGCCCGGGTGGCCGTGGTGAGTGCGGCCCGTGGGGGCTGGGCTCCCCCTGCCCTGGGGCTTGCAGGCCAGTGGGAGTGGGACGGGACCTGGCCGGGGGGACAGCTCCAAGGTGAAACTCCCCCTGCGGCCGCGGTTAGCTGCCTCCTTCGCGCAGGCTCTGGAGCACGTGTCTGCCCAGCTGGCAGCTGTCTGAGTCGGGGTGCAAAGGGCAGTGCAAGGTGAAGGACACTGGCCACCAAGCGCGGGAACGCTCTGCCTCGCCTGGGTGAGGCCAGTGTTTTAGGATTGTGCTACTAATGGGAGCGTAGTGATAGAAATGTAGCCGTGTTAGTCTGGGGTAGCTGAAGCAAAATGCAGGACAATGTAGCACTTTAAAGACTAACAAGATGGTTTATTAGATGATGAGCTTTCGTGGGCCAGACCCACTTCCTCAGATCAAATAGTGGAAGAAAATAGTCACAACCATATATACCAAAGGATACAATTAAAAAAATGAACAAATATGAAAAGGACAAATCACATTGCAGAACAGGAGGGGGATGGGGGGGGAGGAAGGAAGGTAAGGGTCTGTGAATTGATGATATTAGAGGTGGGGAGAGTGGGATGTTTGTGAGTTAATGGTATTAGAGGTGATAATTGGGGAAGCTATCTTGGTAATGGGTGAGATAGTTCAAATGTTTAAGTCCTTGTTGGAAAGTGTCGAATTTTAACATGGGAGCAGTTTCCTGAAGGAGCGTTTCCTGACCCTCGTACAAATAAGAAAAAGCTACGGGCAGCACATTCCTAGAAGGTAGCAGCTCTCTACCTTAGGCGGCCGCCAGATACTGCTGTGTTCACACAGGGTATTGTAATGCTTAAGGACATAGGAACGGCCATCAAAGGCTGAGATAACTCAGTGTCCTGTCTTCTGGCAAGGGCCAAAGCAAGGTGGCTCAGAGGGAATGAACAAAACAGGGCAATTTTAAAGGAGCCATCCCTCATTTAGGGGCATCAGGAGCGTGATTGTACATCCCACCCTGACCATCTTGGCCAATAGCCACGGGTGGATCTATTCTTCATGAACTTGCTCTTAGATTTTGTGAGCCCCTATTGACTCATGGGCTGGGGCCAAAAATGAGGAGTTCAGTGTATGGGATGAGGCTGCCAGATAACGGGCTGGGTGGGAGGAGGATGCAGGAATGGGCAGGGGTTGGGGTGGAGATCTGGGTGGGAGGTAGGGTGTGGGGTCTGGGCAGGAATAGGGTGCAGGAGCGGGGTGGGAGGTCTGGGTGGGAAGGTGGTGTAGGAGCAGGCTGGGATTGGGGTGGTCTGGGAGGGTGGTAGGGAGTAGGAATTGGCTAGGAGTGTGGTGAGTAGGCAGGAGGGAATGCAGGAGTCAAGGGGAGGTGCAAGAGGTGGGAGATGTATGGTGTATGGTCCCTGCTGCTGGGGGTTGGAAAGGCCGAGCCTTGGAGGCCAGATCCAGGCCTTAGGTACTTCAGCTCCATGACACACAGTTTAACTTTTATGTACATACATCTTGGACCAAACTATGTACATTGGGTCCTCTCTTGCAATCTAATTTGCACTGGCAGACTGCTGTGGGCAATACAAATCAGTGTGCCAGTGTGAGGAAACAGAACCATGGAAAAGGAAACCAGAAGGCATTAAAATTACAAAAGAAACTCAAAGAAGAAACTTAACAGGTTATAAAAATAAAATCTAAAGAGGTAAATTGCACAGAGCATCTAAAATAACAAGTTTATATATATACATATATATATATATATGTGTGTGTGTGTGTGTGCATGCAATGGATAATTGAGAAAGCATCTACAGGCTGCTTAAAAATGAGGTGAGAGCTAGCATTAAGAAAGTAGAGTTATTAAAGGGACACTGCCATTTGGAAAGCTAATCACTGCTCAAAACTTGAGTTTAAAATAATTTCAGGAGCAAGTGTCCTTGGAATTTTGTTATGTCTTTACAGTCACAATTTCCCTATTTTAAAAATCACTTTTTTGTTGCTATCTAAAAGACCCACACAAACAAGGAAAATTGACCATGCAGCCATTGAGACAAATGCATAAAGGAAACAAACTGCAGAAATTGGAGAACATTATTTTCTCTAATTTCTAAGTTCTACTATTCTTCAGTAATATTTAGGAGAACATGCTTAACTAACAAGGTTGGCGTTATTTGAATGCATTGTTGCCATGGTTAATAAAGGAAATTTAATTGAGCGACTCAGTATACTTAAATGTTTAAAAAACTACTTAGCCATTAATTTCTGGCATGGATCCTAAGAATAAGAGTCATGTAACAGATACAGTAGTGTCATAAATTCTGTTTTTTTAGGTGTGCCCTTTAAATGAAATGCGTCTGTATGCATCCAAGTCTGAATATATTCCCTCCCTAATATGTAAGATCATCCTCTTTACATGTCTTAAGGTCATGAAAGCTCCTAATATTTTAGATGCTTTTGTGACAACCATCACATTTTAAGACAATGTGTAGGTTTTTCAAATCTGATAAAAATGTAAAATACTTTTTGCTGTTCAAATCAATAGTAATTGCAGAGCCATTTACTTGAATGGAGCAAGCTACTCTAAATAGGACATTCCAGTTCTTGTGTAACCCAGCAATACTGAGACTATATCTGTTTTGTTTGATAAGGGTGCAGCCACAATTGCTTTATCCCCAAATGTTGTGCAAGATCCCTAAAAAAGAGTCTGGCAAATACATATTTTGCCTGAAATACTGTGTTGACTTTCCCTTTGCAGGTCTTATCTGGATGTGGTGTGTATGATGGTACAGAAATCCATGAGGCCTCAGCGTAAGCAGCTTTCCTTTACTGCAGAGTCCAGACATGTATTCTTCACACGACTAGAGCATTTTATTCTGTTTAGTTAATTGCTATTTTCCTAGGGCTATCAATACTAAAGAGCTTTGATGGTGTGCGGTTTTCTCCCAAGATTGATTCTTTCCACACCTCTTGTCTTAGCTTTATGTTCCTCTTTAAGTGCTCATAATGCATACTTCTAGATGAGGAAGTATGGGCATGCTAAATTGCCACCTCACATTCAGCCAGAGCAATGAGCTATTGTCAGCCAGTCCTCTGCTAAGGGCTAGCTGCTGCTCTGAACACTAGGGCTATGTTTAGACTGCATCATTTTTGCAGTAGAGGAAATGCAAATGAAGTGCTCATTAGCATTTCTTATGCTCTCATTTGCATAGTCTCATCCGATACTTTTTGCAGAAGAGGCTTTTGCGGAAAAAAACGCAACGTAGATAGGGCCATTTTTCTCAAAAAAGCCCTTTTGTGCAAGATCCCTTATTCCTTAAAAAATGAGGTTTACCAGGCGCAAAAGGGTTTTTTGGTGAAAAATGGCCCCATCTACACTGTGTTATTTTCCGCAAAAACCTCTTCTGCAAAAAGTATCGGATGAGACTATGCAAATGAAAGCATGAGAAATGCTAATGAGCGCTTCATTTGCATTTCTTCTTCCGCAAAAATGATGTAGTGTAGATGTAGCCTTGGTCTCCTCTTACAGTCATCCTTCAGAAGAGGCTCAGGTAACCTCTGTAGCTCATCTAGCCTTCAACCTCACTCTTTCTCCTCCCTCCCCCATTGACAGGTTATAATAAACCCCCACTGCAGTGGTGCCCAAAGTTTTCCTGTCACTCCCCTTGCCCCCCTCCCTTACCTGTGATGGAATCTGTCTGTGCCTGCCCCTCAATTATTGCACAGTTGACTCAGCAGAGAAGAATGTGCTGAAGGCAGAGCTAGGGAGCAGAATGGGATGGGGAAGTATCTGGGGCTGGAGGCAGAGCCGCTCTGAGGTGGAGAAGGAATGAAGGCAGAGCTGGGATGAGTGGTGCTCCCTCCATACCTTCCCATGGATGCGGGTCCGGGCCCCATCACTCATCTTATTCCCCAAAGTGTTCCTCCACACTCTCCCGAGAGGGCAAACCCCACAATTTGGAGACCCCTCTCCTGTGCAGTCTCTAAACAGTGATGGTATATAGTCATTTTTATGCTAATTTGTCACTGTTTTCCAAAACATGTAACATGTTTCCCGTAAAACTCAGCCAGATAAAAAACCTGCTCTAATTGTCTCTTTAATACTCCTTCTCTTCTAAAGCTTTCGTCATATTTTTAATGTTGTAGCATTTTGGTTCACCTGAGTCGTGGGGGAGCTGAAGTTCAGATGTATGCCCCAGATATTCCTCAGATGCATGTTATTGACCATAGCAAAGGACAGCCAACTGAGGCTGAGTCAAGGTAAGAGCTAGATTTAATTTGCATAGGATGACTCCTGCTTGTTCTGCAGGGGTGTGTTGCAGAGGTCATGCCCTATACCAGGAGTAGGGAACCTGAGGCTGCGGGGGCTGGCTCTGGCTTGTCTAGATCCATCCTCCAAAGCTCAGGGCTCCCCTCCATCCAGCATTGGGGATTAAGCACTGGTGCTCCACATCCCCCTCTATAAGTCCTTCCGTGGGCCTGCACGTGTTGTGGGGGGAGGAGCCTCACAGGTGAGAGTCAGACAAGCTACAGCTGGATCCGATTCATGTGCTTGTCACTTGTGTGTGGTTCTTGACAGATTTTTCTATGGGTCAGCAGCCCCCAACCCACTCCTGCCCTATACTAAATATTTACTAATAGCAGTTTTCTCAAAGTGTTTAGCTTTATGCCAACTGATATTCTGTACGCGAGAAAAACTTAGTCCTCCTCTTGTGGCTACCACCTAAAATCTTATCCTATTCCTTGCTCATAAGTCCAGTGGATTCCAGTGGTTTGATTTCAGAAGCAGCCACGGCTGCAGTTATTCAGGGTTGTCGTTTTCAAGTCTTCAAAAATAACACCTTCTCTTATACAGTTTCACCAAATTTGTGCATGTATTGTCTTCATTTTCCTTATTGCTTTATTTCTTGTTCTTCAAGAAATGTTTTAGTGGAATCAGCAAGGATTGCTCGTGGTAAAATCACAGACCTGGCTAAACTTAGTACAAAGGACCATGATGCTGTGATATTTCCTGGTGGATTTGGAGCTGCTAAAAACCTGTGAGTGCCAAGTTAAATAAAGCAATAGAGAAATCCTTTATGCATAACTCACATGGTAATAATAGAAAACAGTGGCCTTTTTATTAATTATGTCAGTTTACATAGTCTAGCCCAGTGTTTCTCAGCCAGTGGCGTGCATACCTTGCATGCAGAAGTCTTTGAGGGATTAACTCATCTAGATATTTGCCTAGTTTTACACCAGGCTACATAAAAAGTGGTGTACAAATGTGGTACAAACTAAAATTTCATACAGTTACTTGTTTAGCATGTACTATACACTGAAGTGTAAGAACAATATTTATAGTCCCAATTGATTCGTTATAATCAGGGCTTGACAAACCGCTGATTCTACTCGCCCGTGGCAAGTAGATTTCAGCCGGTCGCTCTGTGCGCCCCATTTACCAGCGCTGCACGCTTGCCACCAGGCTGGCGAGCAGCTCTCGCTGCGGTTTGTCAAGACCTGGTTATAATTATACAGTAAAAAGATAAAGCAAGCAATTTTTCAGTACATTTTTGTATTTTTATGTCTTAATTTTTTTTAAGCAAGTAGTTTTTAAGTGAGGAGAAACTTGGGGGTACACAAGACAAATTGGATTCCTGAAAGGTATACCGTCTTCAGGAAAGATTGGGGGCTATTGGTTTACCCTAAGGAAGACTATGTTCAAATTGTTTGGGGATTTCAATAGCAAAACATTCTCAACGCAGATGTGAATGTGGTGGAGGGGTTCCCCATGTGATTCTTATTATGGTTATAGTGGCAATTTGTTATCTGAAAATGCCACTCTGAAAAATTTCCCACCAAAATTAGAGAGCAGTTCTGCTTACACAGCACATTTTTTTAAAAAAAGCCCTTTCCATTCCCTGTGGTGCTGTGATGATTGTTTTGGGGCATGAAGAGGGGAAGTGAAGATTATAAGACTTTTTGTTTCAGATCATCTCCAATATCATTCTCTCAATTCCTTTCCACCTAAGTCTTGGAACAGTGTAGGGATAGTACTAAACAAATCACTAAGTAGTTTCCTTTCAGAAAGCTAATGGGTGTAAAACCCCGTGAGTCTTGTGACCTAGTCTTCTACTTTTGATTCTTTTGAAATATTTAAGTATATTTTTACCATCTATCTTGGATGGTTTAGACACAACAAATTCTGCATTTTGACAGGGGGCTAGACTAGCTCAGGGATTCTCACCCTTGTTCTTTCTGAGATCCTCCCCCAAACATGCCATAAAAACTCCAGGGCCCTGCTGTGCCATAACAACTGGTTTTCTGCATATAAAAGCCAGGGTTGGGGTTAGTGGATAGCAAGTAGGACAGTTGCCTGGAGCCACGTACCATAGGCCTCCTACAAAGTTAAGTTGCTCAAGCTTTGGCTTCAGCCTGAGGGAGCAGGGCTCAGGGCCCCAGGGTTCAGACCTATGCGGTACAGCTTCAGCTTTCTGGCCTGAGCCCTGCAAATCTAATGCTGGCCATGCTTGGAGGATCTCCTGAAACCTGCTCGAGGCTCTCCTGAGGGCCCTGGATCCCTGATTTAGAATTACTGGACTAGATGATACTTCTGGGCCCTTCTAACTCTGGGGTCTATGATTCTATGAAATGTCTTTTTCTAGGATGTCCCTTGAAGATGAGAAATTATTTTTTCTCTCCAAGTAATGATTTGAAAATCTGGTAGCACTGTCATCCTGTTTCTGCAGAACATTGGAAGGCTCATTTGGTAACACTTAGTACTTAGTTAAGACTAAGATTTGTTGCTTGATGCCACAAGGAGTTCGTATGCACTTTCCATTTTTGATGTCCGTTGAGAGCTGCCGTGCACGTGCACATATGTAGTCATTGCATAGATATGTAAGTGTTTGACAGCCTCTTGTTGTGGCAGTTCCACCTTTGCTGTGGATGGGAAGGATTGCAAAGTGAATGCAGAGGTTGAACGTGTCCTGAAGGAGTTCCACAAAGCTGGGAAACCTATTGGGTATGTACATTCTAGGTGCATCGTGTACAGTACATTTATACAACAGCATTTTTAATTGCTCCTATAGTTGATAGTTTATATGAGAACAGAGAGAAAACAAATTCTAGATAAATAGGTGGATCTTAGTTAGGGATGTAAATGACTATCAGTTAAGCAAATGCTCAACTAGTCGCTTCCCTCCCCTGTCAGAGAGAGGCAGCAAAGGGTGGGGAGCAGGACCAGTGCTGTGGGGAACCAGTAAAGCTGGTTCCCCCCAGCACTGTCTCTGTGGGGGTTAGGGGAGGCAGAGACACAGTGGGAAATGGTGCAAATGGGGACTGCTTCAGTCCCCAGTTGCACCAGTTCCTACTGTGGGCGAGTCTGCTTTTGAAATGTACAAGAGCCTTGTGGGGCTCTTGTGCATTTCAACCAGTGCTGTGGGGAACCAGTAAAGCTGGTTCCCCCCAGCACTGTCTCTGTGGGGGTTAGGGGAGGCAGAGACACAGTGGGAAATGGTGCAAATGGGGACTGCTTCAGTCCCCAGTTGCACCAGTTCCTACTGTGGGCGAGTCTGCTTTTGAAATGTACAAGAGCCTTGTGGGGCTCTTGTGCATTTCAAAAGCAGAAGTGCCACAGGAAACATGGGGCTAGCAGGGACTCAAGCAGTCTCTGCTCATCCTGTGCTCTCTGCATCACTCCCTGGCCTGTCCCTCCTCCCTCTCCCCCCCCCCCCCCCCCCAAAGCTGGTTCCCCTCAGCACCGTTTCTGGGGTGCCACCTACCTCTGCCCCCCACCTCTATCAAAGGCAGCAGGGGGATAGGGGATGCTTCTGCGAAGCAGCCCCTGTCTGCAGGGATCACAATGGGGAGCTGAGCTCCCACCCGCAGGGGGGGCTGTCGTCACCAGGCAGCCCCTGCCTGCAGCCAGCCCTGACCACCACAAACAAGGGCTGCTCTGGCACTAGTCTCTGTTCACTGTGGACAGGGGCTGCTGGATTCCATGCATTTTAAATGTAGTAAGAGTCTAGCAGGTTTTACTAAATTTAAAATGCAGAGCCGCAGCACAGGTGGTTCTGGAGCCAGTAGGAGCCAGGTTGGCTCAGTCTCAGCTTGAGTCGGCTCCTCTGGAGCTACCCCTGCTGTGGCTCTGTAGAGGCGCTTATCAACTAATTGTATAGTCGATACAAACTGTATTGAGTGTACGATTAGCCAAATAATCTCATTTTAACATCCTTAATGTTAGTACATGAGCTAGAAAAAATGAATTCAGCCCTGCTTTTATTGCTAGTTAATTTTTTTTTTAAATCTTCCTTCAAGATGTTAAGAAGAGAGAGAAGTCCAGGAAAGAAAGGGATCCTTTGCTTTCCAGGGAAAGCCTAATAGTGTTGGAAGAAATTATCTTATTCATGTTTGACTTTATGATCTTGAAATCCATGTGCATTTGAATCATCATAATTGTAACAAATCCTTTTAAAAAGTAGTCTAATTGGTGTAACCTTTCTATTTTTCTTTCAGCCTGTGCTGCATTTCACCAGTGTTGGCTGCAAAAGTACTCTCTGGAGCTGAAGTTACTGTGGGACATGAAGAAGAGGAAGGTGGGAAATGGCCTTATGCTGGAACTGCAGGAGCCATTAAAGCACTCGGAGGAAAACATTGTGTGAAAGAAGTAACTATATCCTTTCCACTTAAAAATCACCGACCAAAAGTTATGGGGCATTGTTTTTCTTAGTACATAAGGCATCACAGTTACAAAAAAATATAGTCAATGCTTCATTGTTGATAGTGTGAGCCTACCAGACTGTAATGTGAGGCATTTGGATTGGACAACACTATTCCAATTGTGTGGCTGAGTCCTTACACATTATGTTCAGTTGTTGCCTGAAAATTTCTCTGGCACAACCAGTAGCGTGGTTAAGTCAGAAGAGCTATAGATAAAATGGCCTACAAGTACAATCTATCCACAGAAAAGGGCCCCATAACTAGTCAGTTTTGTTTGGAAAAAGAAAATAAATGAATCTCGAAAGTCTAAAGCGGTGACCAAAAAAATCTTAACCCTGAAACATTAACTTCTAAGCAAAGAGTTTCCCATCTTTTCATGTAATCTTTAGTACTTTTTTCCCTGTTGATGCAATACTGGTATTTTGGGCAAAAAAAAGTAGAACTTTCCTAGGCTATCACTGTGACTACTTTTGTATAGAATGGGCGTGGGGAAAATAAGATACAGGCGGTAGTGTTTCATTCTACAGACAGCATATGCAAATACTAGGTTGGCTGTGCTTTCCTTAATTCTCTTCCACGAAGCTCATATAGATGTGAATAACAAGGTGATAACTACCCCAGCATTTATGTGTGAAACAGAATTACATCACATCTTTGATGGTATTGGAACCATGGTAAAAGGTGTGCTGAAATTAATAGGCAAATGAAGTGGCTAACTGTAATAATAGTAATCTTTAGAAAATAAAGCGCACAGTACTGGAAATATCAAGCACCAATGGAAATGTATTTCCCCTGTTTGTCCTATTGGCACTTTTATAAACCACAGAAATAAAGTCTGATTCCCAGCTCTGTCCAGATGTTGCAGAAATGTTTGCTACATAAATGCATTGGTTTCCAAACACATCCTATCAAAAGAGTCTGCTGACTAGCTTATCCTGTAATCTAAATAATGTTTTGGCATTGGGCACTTGGTGAGGGTTGTGTGAGAATGTTCTGAGACCAGCCAGTATACTATTCCAACAAAAAAAAAATCCTCTTTGAAAAATACTAGGGACGCAAATGAAAACGCAACAACAAGAATACTGTGGGAGTCAGAATATTGGGAGCAGCAGCCTGAGCATAGGGCTGGATATGAAATTGCTTTGCAGAACTCACAATTCTGTTTCAGAGGCTGTGGATAGTGTGGTTGAAATGCACCAGTTAAATTGTGATTGCAAGGAGCAGATAGATACAGCTGCTATAGGACTGACTGCCATTCAAAGGTGAGGAGTAAAGATACTACTAATCCTTGTGAGGAAAGCTATGTTAAAATTCATTCTTGGCTAGTCAAGCTGCCTGTGGGTATGTGAGTCTGAACTTTGGCATTAAGAAATTGCTGGAATCTGGGGACAGAGACATTTATGAGGCTTGAGCTGTAGGGTTACACTTGCCCCTGTGTTTCAAGCACGACTACAATAGTTTGCTGAGTATTCCATTATTTCCTATGTCCATGAGGTAAAGTCAGGATCAGCTTTGATGTAACCAATGGAAACACTCGTTTCTATCCCCAAGGGTTAACTAAACATTAATAAAAATATTGTGTTGGATGGTCCTTCTTTTCATGGCTTTTTCCCCCTGTTTTTAAAGGTGTGCTTTTTCCAAATATGAATAAATCTGTATGTCAAGAGCAGGACACACTTTATTGTAAATACCCTAGCATTTTAAGATTTCTTTCATAATTTAACCACAGAACAGGAATGGGCCTTTTATATCTAAAAGAGGGTTTGAAACAAGGAGAAAGGATCAGCTGTGGTGCCTTGCACATTTTAAAGGCATCTTTCACATTCATGTAGTTACTTACCAGAAATGGGTAACAGGCTGACTGCACTGCTATTACCCCTCTCCCTTTCCAGACTAACAGAGCTTCTTCTGTAGAAATAAAACCAAATGTAAGAAGAAGATATATAAATTAAATGTTGTTCGGTTATTTTTTTACCTCTTCCCCGCATCTCTTTATCATTGAATATTTGCATTTGAAGGAGCCTTTACTAATTCAAAGTCCAACAATATTCAGCATTTTGTCTCTTTCCTAAATTTTGTCTTGTTCACTTGTTTTTATTTCTCTTCCTACCCCATTATAGACCAACACAGCATTCTGTTCCTTGTATTTTCTTTGAGTGCCAAGTCATCTTTCTTTTTCTCTATTCACAGAAAAATAATGTTGACATAACAGAGTTTTATAGACAAGTATCATGTTCCAAATACACTGTGTTTTAATCAACTGGAATTTTAAGACATGTACGTGAAGTCATTTTTCAAGAGTCCCAATATTTTGTTGCTTTTATGATATTAAAAGATGACAACAAGGATTTTGAGGATGTTTTTGCCAGCACATATTCTAATTTGTAATGATGTGAATATACATTGTTCTAAATTAGTTTTGATGCGGCTACAGAAAATTTCTGTATGTGGTTTTAATGTTTCAATTAAAAGTGGTTCTTATATATTTAATGAGCTTCATTTATATTTTGATTTGGTCTGATTTAAGGTTTATTGCATAATATCGTATTGAGGTCTCATAAATACTTTCTGTGCCCTTGTCTGGAGAGCAGTGGGGATTTAAAGATATTTTTCCTTGATTAAAAAAAGATGATTAGTTTGATGTTTTTTTTAAAAAAAAAACTATGTTCTTATCCTTGTTTAATCAGTGCTCATGTAAAAAGAAAAATACTCTGGAAGAGATTTTTTTTCTCTATTAAGAGCAATTAAAAAATACAGAACATTTTGGTCTCAATGGTACATGTCTATTGTGAGTTGAGGTTTTGTAATTGCACCACAAAAATATTCACTTTTCCCATTGATATCTTTAATACTGTAGTCAAAACTGTGAGCTTCAATAGTATCCTTGAGGGAGATTCTCATGAAGCTAAAAACTAATTATATCATTAAGTGTGTTTGGGTGGAGATTAGTAAACTTCTTGTTTCTCAGAATTTGTTACAATGCTGGGTTTGTGTGTGTAGGAAATTGTCAGCCATCAAAGGAATAAGAAATGAAATGTAAGACATTGTTTCCATGTAGTCGACTACAAATAAAGGCTGCTTCCATATGTTTCTCTTGTAAATGCATTTATGTATCAACTTATTTTTACAAGTATGGGGTTATCTTAGTGAGCAGAAGGCAGACTTTGAATCATATTGAGGGTATAAAATGTTCTGTCTTTAACGTTGTCAGCGGGAAAGCTCCAGAGGAAAGAGTTGTATAAATGGAAAATGTTAAGCACTGTTCTTAAATGTATATCTTCCTTACGTGTGCAGGAAATAAGAAGAGTATATAAACCTCACCAGAAAATTTACAGTACAATAAATGTGTGCATGTAGATGGTAGTGATCTACTAGGATGAATGAGAAATCCTGCAATCTGTGCTAGATGTTGTGTTATCACCTATGGGGCTCGTGTGTGTTCCTTTTTACTGGCACTACAGCTCCTGGGACTAAGTGGAGGGTTCTTGCCTTACCACAATAAGGGTGTGGCAGGAATGAAAAATCTTAACCTACAAACCCCAGTGAATGCAGCTCCATTGAGGTAGCTTGAGGATAAACTCTGAAATCATCTCTTTCTGTTGGAATAAAGCTTCCTTTTGTCTGGGTGAGAGAGGCGATCTTTTTGAGAAAGGGAGACCACCAATCATTGCAGAACTAGCCCATAGTTCAAAACAATGCACAGATCTTCAGTCTTGGATATTTCACTGAATGTAGATACCTAAATTAGAGTAAGGCTATGTCTAGACTGCAAGCCTCTTTTGAAAGAGGCTTTTTCAAAAGATACATTCGAAAAAGCCTCCTTCGAAAAAGAGTGTCTAGACTACAAACAGTACTGTCGAAAAAGCAAGCCACTTTTTCGAAAGAGAGCACCCAGGCAGTCTGGATGTTCTCTTTCGAAAAAGCACAGTTTGCATTACATAGTGCCTTTTTTTAAAAGAGCACTTTTGAAAAAAAGGCGTTATTTCTCGTAAAACAAGGTTTTCCACGGTTGAAAAAACTGCCACGTTCTTTCGATTTACTTTCGAAAGAACGCGGCAGTAGTCTAGACTCAGGGGAAGTTTTTTCAAAAAAAGGCCACTTTAAAAAAAAAAAACCTGTAGTCTAGAGCCACCCTAACTTCCAGAAACCCTTTCTTCCAACTGTGCCCTCTTTGGACAGTTGCAATACCACTCATGGTGATCCATAGCTTTGTGACCTCCAGCTTGCATTGCTGCAGTGTCCTATCCCTCGGAATCAACATATGAGCCCTTAAAACGCCAACTAACATAGAATGCAACAATGCACCTGATAAGCAGCAACAGTAGAGAACCTCACATTATCCTGGAGTGCTGGTTTTCTCTATGGGAGCCCGGTTAACAATGATTCAAAGTCACATTTCTAATTTTCCAAGTTTTCACATGATGGGTGTCTGACCTAGGAATGCAGCTAGCAGTCAACAAAAACTTTCAAGACAGCTGTGCTTCTTAGGAGTAATGGAGCCACCCACAAAAAGAGTACAAGTCATGAGTGCTGAGGACAGCCTTTTGCAGGATGGGCACACAACTGTGGGGGAGATCAGAAGGAACATGAAGTTCTTCGCCTTCACAAAGAGGAGACTGGTCACTGCTTTCAGCAATAAATGCATTTTAAAGCCTCCCTTCAGCAGCAAGGAATGACAAGGGAGAGAATCAAATACACAGACAAATCTTTCATGTACAGTAAAACTCCAATAGTCTGAATGACAAGGGAGAGAATCAAATAGACAAATCTTTCATGTACAGTAAAACTCCAATAGTCCAGCACTCCTGATAGTCCAGCATCAAAATGGCAAGAGCCTAGTGAGTGAGCTTTGGCAAAACATGAGTCACAAGGTAACAGTGGCAGCTGCTGAACTGAGCGAAAAGGGTTAAAAAAACTAAAACATTACAGTAGACTGTATACAGTATGTACAATAAAAAGGGTTAAGAACATATATACATAACCAGCTTATAGTACCTCCCGATACACCAGCATATCTGATAATCCGGCACCACCTAGATACCATAGGTTCCGGATTATTGGAAATCTACTGTACTTGACACTCGGATTGCCCAGTGATGAGCACAGTTCAAAAACCTTTCTGCTACTTGTTGTGTGTTAAAGTTTTACACTTGCTACTATTGCAGGACTTAATATTACCCAGCCTGGCCTTTACCTAAGTGTAATTTTGGAGGGAAAGTCCATGTGTTGGGGGTGGGGCAAATTAATAGGAAGGCAGAAATACTTCTCTGATAGGATAGGGTTTTTTTCCCCCTCCACAAAATGGTGGCTGATTGAAGATGCCTGGAAGATTATTATTTCTGTCAGATGCGGACATAAGTGCAGATGAGGTGGTCAAAGGTGTGTAGTAAGTACAGTTTAGCATGAGACTGTCATCAGAAAGAGGTATTCATATATTCCGTCTTCTCCTCCTACCTCTGCTCCTAGCAGGTATTCATTCATACAATAGTCTGTCCATAGACAATTTTGTTTTCAGTCTGCAGCCAAAATGTTTTGAGAGCCAGTTTGTAATACTGAAGTGTACAGTTTAGTCCATAATTAGCATGGCGTCTCCAGCAGCTCACATATCTAAATATGAGTGGTAGTTCTGGAATATGGTTAACTGATCCTCTGGCAACCTACTTCTATTACACTTTTTGGGAGACTAAGTGGGGGAGGGGTTTGCTCTGTAATTTGCTCAGTGTCACACTTGTACACGCACGGTCTGAGCTGGAGTGTTCCACATGAACATGTAGTATGTTCTGTCATTTAAAAGTCCACTGTAGCCTGAGTGAGACCCTTTTTTCTGCAGTTTGAAGCTTTAGCCCGTCTCACCCCCAACAGCTGGAAACTTCTGATTCCTAAGAATGAAGCTTTTGACAGGAGCTTTCACTCATTCCTTTCCTGCTTGTCTTCGTGAAGTATAAAAAGAATCTTTAAACATATTAGCTGCCTGCAGGGGGCACCTTTGGAACGGTCTTATGAGAGAGAGGTTTCCTTCAACTGTAAATCTACTTTAGTCTTCTAGTTGTTTTCCATTATAATGCTGTTGTCTGTATATTGACATTTGGGGAACTGAAAAAATAAGGTAAAATAATATATGTTGCTTTCCACTTAATAAGTTTTAGGGCAGTGATACTTGGACCTCAGGGATTCAGGAGCCAAATTAGCCATCAGCATTAGTTTTTACTGACAAATTATTATTTTATCCGCTACAGTTGGTTAATAACATAGTAAAAGCATCCTGAGTGGTTAATAATTAAAACATCCTGACTGGCTAATAATTAAATCATACAGTGTTTTAATATGTGCTGTATAGAGCAGCAGGAGGCACTTTCAAGAGTTGCTTGCAGCTCTCGAACTTCAATCTGAGTATCACTGTTGTAGGGTTTTGTTTTTAATGAGATTGGATGGGGCGCTATTTAGATTTCTCATTTCTCTCCCTCTTCCCAGGCTTGTAGCAGCTATGGAGAAGGTTGTGTCTTTTGTAGATCAATGGCAATCTTCTGAAAAAGGAAGGAGGTTACATCTAGTCCTCTTTTCCTAGAAGAGGGTGTGGTTTGTGAAAGAAACCCTGGTGAGTGCTGTGAGGTGGGAAGTTGGAAGGAAGGGAGCTAGCCACCCCAGAAACAAATGCAAATGGGAAGCAGGGTACATGTTGAGACTGTTCTTGGTTCACATTGCTCTGCTTCTTAAATTTGTTAATAATTTGTCCCTTTTAGTAGTCAGCTAACTTGCTTGGTCTGACTAGTGACAGAACAAGGGGGAACACTACCTATGCTGTGAACTTCTGATACTGGTGATGAAATGCCCACACATTGCTCTATAATGGCATTCCTTTGGTGCGTGGCAAGTGTTGCTCCGTCCACATCAAGATAAGATTCCGAACGCTCTGAAAGCATGTAGCCAGTTAGTTATGAGAGGCAGGTCTTTAAACTAGAATAATACTATACAAGCTATAAAAATGAACTATTCAGCTAAAACTACTGCTCTGTTTACTTGTGCCTTACTATAACTAAAACTTATAAGCTGAAAAAAGTCACTCCTGCCATCAGGCAAGCCCATAAAAGAGAAATTCACAAGGGCTGCCTGAAGATTTATTTAATCTGACAGATTATTTTATCTGTGCAGGGTCTCCCTGTATCAAATGGGGGTATGTGCCATTGGTGAACTTCAAGTAAGAAAAATTAAGATACTGGATTTTTAAATCTACAAATTGTCCATTTTAGAACTTTAAAAGCTTTCTGTCCCTTTAGTTCTTTCCAGAGGCTTAGAGGGTGAGGCACAGAATGGTCTGTTCTGTCATTACATGTTTTGAGAGTACAAGTGGCTTGCCTGGGGCCAGATAAGGAGGAGGGGTGGTTCTTTGCTCAGTTTCTACCTATATTTCCAAACTTCTCCAACAAAACAGCTGTTGGTTAATGGTATATTTACCATAAGATATGCAATTAAGTGTTGACATGGAGAAAATTCTATACCGTTATTGTGATAGCCATTTTCCTGTGACTACTATGCAATTTCAGTCTGTCCATTTGCTTGCCCAGTCTTACTGTATATTTTAGAAGCTTACTCTTTAGGGGTGTTCAAGATGGACAGATGCACAAAGTTTCTAAAATATATAAAAAAAACCCTTAAAAAACAACAAATAGTCTAGTAGCACCTTAAGGACTAACAAAACATGTAGGTAGTATCATGAGCTTTTATGAGCAAAACCCACTTCTTCAGATGACCAGAGATACTCCTCCTAAACAGTAAGAACTAGGACCACCACATTCGGGATGCAGCTGCCTCTATCATAACTTAAAGCAAGGTCAGGGTTTGGTTGTGCCAGGGCAATGGGGTGTGCCTGGAATCCAACTGTTTTCCATCACATGGAAAGGGATGAGTGTGATGGGCGGAACAAGTATGATCCAGAATGACCCCAATGAGGCAGCAAGCACTGGGGACAGATCTTCTGCAGAGTGACTACAGAGGGATGGACACACCTGTAACATCAGCAGGCTGAGAACAGCTCTCTGCATGTTGCTGGCAAGTGGCCCCCCTAGTCCCAAAGCCAGAGCTGAAACCATCCCTCCTAGGCCTTTGCCCCAGCACTAGACAGCTGGGGGCAGCCCTCCATCCTGCAGCCCCCTCATGTCCACCCAGGGAGCAGCTGCTTGCCAGCCAGCCAGCATAGCCCCAGCTGGCCTTTGGGCCCCCACACCTCCCAGCACCCCCCCCACACCTACCTGTCAGCTTTGCTCCTGCTCTGGCCAAGCTCAGCAGCAATGAGGAGCTGGCAGCACCACTATAGGAAGCTACAGGAGGTTTTGGGGTTGGTTGCCACTTGCCACCCTGACAGTGCCCAGGCGCCCCTGCACATGCAGCCCAGAGTGGGCTGCAAGGGTCACAGAGTGGAGCAGGGAGCAAGTGGCTGTCCTGAAGGGAAGGGAAGAAGCCAGGGTGTTGCGGATCATCCCTCCTCCCCAGTCATGCTGAACTGGGACCTCTGATGTTCCCCTCCCTGCAGAGCAGCTGCTTAAGCCCTGCTCTGCTCTCTGGCTGTAGTTCCTGAGCCCCCTGCCAGCCCTCTCAGCAGCTGCATGTGCTGGGGTGCCTGAGGAGCAAGCACCAAAATCTGACTGTGTTCTTGTGACCAGCAAGCAGCTCTCTGCAAAAAGCTTTTTCTGATCGGTTAGCATTGAAACCCCTGCAGCCCTCAAGCACTGACTTTGGTTTTTGCCAGTGGGTGCCCTTTTCCACGCCACCTCTGCTGTGTGAGTCTCTGGAGGGAAGAGATTGGCGGGGCAGGGGGCTTGGGCGTGGCAACAGTCTAGGTACTGGGGCCCACAAAAGATGTATCTGGCCCTGTGGGAGCTTGAGTCCTGGCACACCCAGGAGGTCAGTACCTGTACTGCAGGCTCTCTGGTAGTTTCCTTGAAGACCAGTGTTCAGACATGGGTAGGGTTATGCTGATCTGTTTGCAATAGACTGTGCTACAGATCGTGGGCAAAGGACTGACTAAGGAAGTTGTCCCAGAGAACTCTGGGATACATGCAGAGGCGTTCCAGGGCCCATGTCAAGTTGGGATCATGTGCACTGCACATAGGAAAGCAACAGGGCTTAGACCCTAGGTTCCAGCTTAACATGGGCTTGGACTCTCCAACTCTCCAATGTCCTAGGACCCTAGGTTAACACCCGTTGTCCTAGGTTTGAGCCCTCGGTTAACATCTATAGTATGTGGATCCAAGGGGGCTTTGGTGTAAAGCAGGAAACCTGGGCTTACATTGCTATGTATCTATACCCTGCATTGGCATTGTGTCACACTCTCTCTCTCTGTTCCAACCTGGTGAGAGAGTCCTTAGTCTGTTCACAGCCACACAATAGTGTAGTTGCAATGGACAAAGAAATACTGTACTTTGTATTATCAGTAGGAAGAAAGTTTCAACTTTAACAATGTCAAGACAACATCTTTAGTTATGGCTGTGTGTCACAGTTTAAGGAGGAAGGCAGTGAATGCAAACCAGATGGGGAGGGATGATAGATTTTGCTCCTTAAACATGGATACTTTAAACAAAAACAAAACAAAAAAACAAAAAAAGGAAAGCAAAGTGCTGAACACAAACTAGAGAACTTAGTGACTCCATATCCAAAGGCTGCAGAATTGCTCATACCCAAACCCAAGTAGTACAGGAGTTCTATACTTGTCCTTTTGCTGCATTTAATGTACTTATTTTCTTTGGGGGAAGAAGGGGAAAAATCAGTTTCAAAGTCTTTGGTTTATTTGTCATATGTTGCGCACTTCCTCCGGGATTGCTTTTTATTTTTTTTTAAACATCCTCTGCCATCAACTTCTCCTTTGACTGACTGAATGGGTCATTTCTTTGTACTGATGATGCAGTTGATATTCAGGAGTAAAAGGAAGAGCCATAGTTCACAGCCTCCAATTTCATGTCACAATATTTCCACCCTTGATTTTTCACAAAGGCAGACATCCCTACTACTTCCACTTTTTCTCTGACGCACAATGTGGCTATGCTTTCTCCAACTTCCACTTCTCCTTTTTGTGAAGCACATGCAATCTTATCTGAAGGATCACATTGGCAGTATAATTGTCATTAATCTGTTGGCACTGTGAACCTTAGCTGGGTTCAAAATTGTCATTAAAAAATACAAGAAAATTGCATGGCTAGAATTTTCAAACTTGAAGGCCTACAGCTAAGGTTCTGAAGGTGGGTGATAAAACCAGGCTTAGCACCTCTCAGTGAAGCCACTTGGTCCTGTAGATGGCCAGTGCCTCTGAAAAAAACCAAGTTTCTTTTTTGAACACCAAACTATGGATATAGGTGCCTAACAGAAGACCAGTTTTCAAGGGGTGATGCCTTGTTTTTTTGTAGCTTCTAGAATAGTAGTTGTGCAGTCCTGACAGATGAGTGCTTTGCTGAAAGTCCCTCACCAGAATAGGTTTGCAGATAAAAACCCTGATCTCACAGTTACAAGATCCAAACCACCAACACCATAAGAAAGTGAGAACAGAACACAAGAATATCCACATCCATTGTATCACCAGGACAATTTGGTAAACCGTCCATATGACCTGAAAAAGAAAAAAAGGTTTGTGTACAATGAGAAGACAATTGTCTACGTACATCACCTTCCCATGTTGCCCATTATAGGTGTTTCTTATCACTTCAGTCTTCTGTGTCTCCTATTTCTGAATCACCTCAGAAATGAACTGAAGTCAACTGGCAGTCTACTAGATATGGCTTCAGTTATTCCAGGCAGAACAAGGCATTCTAGAAAATGAAGGGTAGCTGCTTCTCCCCATCTCCCTCCCCCCGCAATGTAAACAAATGTTAACACCCTTCTTGAACATGGCAGTGAATGAGTCTCAAATTGGCATAGAGTTGTACGACTGCTTTACACATCTATGAATTATAGGGTTTTCTTTTAAATCACACTCCTATCTTCTGCATTTTGAATTATTTGAAAAATTCCTTTCAGGTTCCTGAGTTAACCTCAGTAAAGAGATAGCATAGAGGATAACACACCTGAAGTATTCCCCTTCACAAGAGGGACACTGGACACTAAACAACAAATAATGATATACTTTCCACTGCTGGTGATGACATTGTTTAGACAATTGGCAAAACCACAATAGCAACAAAAGATACTCCAAAGGGCCCTGTACCTAAGGCCCTAGGTCAGGTTCTTCTTAGGCTGACCTGTTTAAATAATTACTGCCGTTTATACAGACATTCCCCCAACCACTATTTGGGCCAGAATACTTCTCTGCGAAGACCAGGTTCTATTTTATTGTATTTGGTGTTAGGTCTACTGTAGGGATAACATATTAAAGTACAGGCAGTCCCCGGGTTACGTACAAGATAGGGACTGTAGGTTTGTTCTTAAGTTGAATCTGTATGTAAGTCAGAACTGGCATCCAGATATAGCCACTGTTGAAACTGATCAGTTTCAGCAGCGGCTGAATCTGGACGCCAGTTCCGACTTACATACAGATTCAACTTAAGAACAAACCTACAGTCCCTATCTTGTACGTAACCCGGGGACTGCCTGTACTTTGCAAAAGACAGGATGCATGCATGCACTCAAGCCAACACCTCCACAGGTCCCTAGACAAGGTGGGGGAGGAGGGAGCAGGTCCATGCTCCGGAAGGGGTGGGGCCTCAGGCAGAAGGGGCAGTCTGTGGCAGCCAACTCTCTGTACCACCCAGAGTGTGGCACTGCCTCTTCCCCATCTCTGAGCCACATAATGGCAATTTAAAGAGCCCGGGATTCCAACTACCCTCCGTGCTGCCGTGGCAGCCTGGAGCCCTCTTTGAATCACCTGGCCCCCCGCCCATCGCCACACACACACACACACACCAGCGGGCCTGCACACACGCACACAAATGGGGCAAGTTGGATATAGGATTCTTTGTATCTTCCTCTCCCTGGTCTGCTGGAGACCAGGGAGAGGGCCCCGTTCGTAACTGCGGATCCGACAAAAGTCGGATCCGCGTAACTCGGGGACTGCCTATATTAAAAATGATTCCCCCAAGTGGAAGTGACTCCCCATAATTTGTTCCCCACAGCTAAAAGTCTAAGTACTATAAGTTTGTTAAGTAAAAGAAGCATATAAGTGTTTAGATTTATTCTTGTTAAAGTGTTTAGATTTAGTGTTATCAAGCTTGATAAGTATTTAGAATGATTATTATTTTATTATTATTTGTTAAGATTGTTAAATGTTTAGATTTATAATTATTGCCCCTCTAGAATATAATTTGTTAGGAATGTAATATTAGGTCATGTAACTTAAAACTGTTAAAAATATAATACTATGTTGCCAAAAACAGCTCTTCTCTCTGTGTCCCAGGGCACACTCAAACTTATTGTTACACAATTGACGCCCATTCTCTTCAAAGCATTGTGAAGCAATTAACCCTAATCGCAAAGTGAAACATTGTTTTTTAAAAAAGCCACTAACTCTGCTCTGGGAGCCATGCCCTGTAATTGTCTAAGGGCATTGTTACACAATTGACTCCCATTCTCTTCAAAGCATTGTGAAGCAATTAACCCCAATCGCAAAGTGAAACATTGTAACTATAACAGTAACTAACTCAGCACTCAGAGATAATGTTTTAAGAAATGCCACCCAGAAACTTCTGTAACTTTTTGTAACTACAACTCTTGTACATGTAAAATTATTATTATACAAAATATTGTATGTGAAACATTAATTAGGGAATGTATGTAAGAGAGAGAGTGTACTTGGACAATGAATGAATGGTTTGAGAGGTGCCAGCCTGAGAATGCCGCATCAAAGGGCTGAAGAAGGCGTCGGGTGACAGTGCAACCAAAAGGTGTCAACCGTTTCTAACACACACATGAGCCGCTCTGATTTGGCTTCTAACACTTTTAGCTGCTCGGTTCTGCAAGCGCATGAGCACCTGGTAGCCACCCTAGAGACATTAGCATGATGCAGCAATTTCCATAGACTGGCATAGGAAGAAATTCCTATAAGAACTGGACTAAAAAACTATGGAATCAGAGTCCAAGGTTCTGCTGCCAGCCTACCAGGAGCTTCAGATGCGCATCTGATCAGGACTTCGCTCCCCACTACCATCACTTGTGTACAGAATACCTGGCCAGTATTCTGTCACAAGCAACTTCCAGGCTGGTAACTATAACTTGAATGAATGGATGAAGGATTGAATGAATGTTTATATATATATATATACAATAAATGTGGCTTTTTGCCTTATCCCCCGTCATAAGATCCTGCTTGCTTTTATTGGTATAACACTACCATCCATATCACTGCAGTAGCTGGATGCTTTCCAGCAGTGTATTTAAGTAACATGACTAACAGCTGTCACTATGTGGTTTATTCTCTCATCCTCTCTTCAGAAGGAAAATTGTGCCAAATGCTAGTCATCTGAAGAAGTGGGCTGTGCCCATGAAAGCTCATGATACCATTTACATGTTTTGTTAGTCTATAAAGTGCTACCAGACCATTTGTTGTTTTAAAGTTTATTTAATTTTAAGCGGTTCTTAGAAAACCCTCGAGGTAAAATTATGAGAAGAGTTTTCTGTCCCAGAGACAGCTTGAGGCTTACTACTGTTGGCCCAGAAGGGTTCTCCCCATGAGCTAGTACATCCCATCCCAGCATGGAGAGAGTCTCTGAGGTTTAAAAAAAAGAAAAAAGTGGAAAAAGAAGAGCAAAGTGTTTGTTTATATACAAACCAGCAAACAGTTGCTGAAAGGGTTTAATAGCTAAGCTGAAAAGTAGACATTTAACTGAGCTTGTGTTCTCTCTCTCTCAATTCTTGTCTGAGTGCATTCTAAAAAAAGAAATAATGCAAGACAAGACAACAGCCAACAAATGGTTGTTCCTTTGGCGGTTGCTGGATATATAACTGTTAGAGACCGTGAGGAAATAGTTTTCCCAAAATGTTTTGATAAAAGGAAATATTTTTATATCTCTATTTTTTCTTTGAAATTTCATGTTTGTGGCAACCAAAACGTGAGAATTTTACAAAATACAATATTTACAACATGAATTTTTTAATGAAAATTTAATGTTCAGTAGAAAAAACATTTTTTCATTAAAAAGTTGTCAAAATGTATATATATATATATATATATCCTTTAAAGGTAGGTGGCTGAGAATGACTATCAACTCTTCCCTCTCCTCTCTTTTCTGTAATCCTAGGCCTTGTCTACTCTACACAGTGTTTTTGGCAGAAGCAGTTTTGTAAGGAAAAAAAAGTGGAGGTGTACACACTACACTGCTACCTTTGGCAACAAAACTCTCCTGTTTTGCTGACAGTGCCACAGTGTTTTTTGCAGCAAAGTTAGAGCAAAAAAGCATCAGGGCGAACTCTGTGTTCTACATGGCTCAATGGGATTGAGAAATCCACACTATGTGATGCTTGTAATGCCCATGAGGCATTACAAACTCTTTGCAAAGCAGTGCACCCTGTGGCCAGTTGTACAGTAGGATAGCGAACCACAGTGCACTGCTCTGTGGTGATACAAGAGCGGCTAGCATGGATGTGCTCTATTGATACAAAGAGCATAGTGTGGTTATTCAATATCCGTTTAATTAAAGCAGTGCTTGTATGCTGACATAACTTCCAAGCTGCTTTTTTTTCCTGCAGGTTGCCAATATTGGTAAAATATTAATTACTATTAATGGCCTGAGATTGTAGCTCTTTTCACTGTGTGATAGGTCCATTTTAATGGTAGATTTGTTCTTATCAAGGATGTAAGTGGGAATCTTTTCTGATACTGAGTATACACAAACCTTTCTTCTGTAGCTTTCCGGATCAGTAGGTGGAGTAGCCAGTGACAGCAAAAGTCAAAGGATTATAGGGCTTTTCTCGATTTAGCAGAACTTGCAATGAGTCACACCAATTAGATATTGAAACAAACCAGGCCTGTTAATTATCTAGCAAAGTTTGGGGTTGTTCACTTACCAGAAGGCATAACATTTCTTTCCGTTAATTGATTATCTGGAGCTGGAAAAAAAATCCAAAATTATTTATTTTGGAATGAATACCATGGGATAGTTAAAAACCTTGTACAGAATAAGCAGTCAGCATAATTCAACTTTTTGTTATATCAGTTATTTTCACATTGGAGGAAAAAAGAGACCTTTGTTGCATGTTCTAGCATCCCTTGACTGATAGGCTAAGTCGGACCTTGTTCAGCTCTTTGCACAACAGATTTTCTCTTTGCATCCCAGCACTAAAAGAAAAGTCACAGGTGCAAAGACAGTTGATTTTGTGTCTTTGCTGTGAAAAAATATATGGCCTGTTCCTGAGCTGATTAAAATTAATGAAAGTCTTTCTTTGACTTTTTGGGGATTTGGAATGAGCCCATATGAGTGAAGTTATTGATGCATGGGGTAATAGACTGGAGTCCCTCCCCACCCCCTTCTGTTAGTATAGGGAAAGGATGCACCTAGCAGAATATGTAAACATGGGTGACCAAATGATCAAAAACTTGTGTGGCAATTCTCCTTAAGATGTGTTTCATTTAAAGAGGGGAAGATCAGAGATTTGGTTTCTCTGGTCTTGGATCATCTGCTGATATTTGAGTTGTGAAGTTTCTGAAAAATTCTCATTCTTACTGTTCCTCATTTAATTAGAAGAATGAAATGGATGGAAGTGGCGAGGTGAAAATCAGTGGAACTTTAATAAGGTACTCAAGCCTAATGTCAGCAATGCATAGGCTCCACCAGGATCAATAAACTTTGTACAGCATCTCCCTCCTGAAATCCCTGTTTCAAAATCAACTTCTAAAGGTCTTACATGAGACGTTGAGTTTCACATATGTCTTCCTTGCTCCGGTCACTCTGTTTCTAGAGATGCAGGTATACACAGCTTCATCAGTTGGCTCAACTCCAGAGAGCATCAGAGAAAAGTTACCATGCTCCAGCTGATCCAAGAAGAGCCTGGTTCTATTGTGGTATCTTCTGGACTGCTCTGTGAGCCGGTCCTTCCCCTTGTAAAAAACATGCACTACCAAGGATGAGTTTATCTGCCAGTATATCGAATAATCGGAAATGGCCAACTTTCCAGGAGTTTTAATGGCACAGGGCAAAATAACGGTGTCTCCGCTGACTGCATGGCACAAGACTGTGTGGGGAACGGCTGTAAAATAAGAAAATGTTGAGAGAAGTGTGAAAAGATACATTTATATTGCTGAGGGGCAAATCATACTGAGCACCCTCAATTCCCATTGTTATTCTCAACTCCCATGGTCAGCACTCTCAGAATGTGGCTATAAATTTGTCAATAGCTGTAATGGGAGAGACATCTGTACCAACACCTATACCTTAGTGACAGCTTGAATACAGCAGCTGTTAATAGCCACCAATAGCTGGCGACTCTCCTATAAATCTATTAATCTGTGGCACTTATGTGGTGCTTATTACCAATAGTAGCTGAGAACCTCAATCTTTAACACATTTATCCTTACAACACCTGTCTGAGTTAAGAAAATCTTATTCCTCCATTTAAGAAATGAGCATGAGACATGAAGAGATGAAGGCCCAGATGTACAAAGACAGGCTCCTAACTTCCATTTAAATCAGTCAGAGGTGAAAGTAGCTTAACATTTCTGACAGGTACTGTCCCATTGCAACCCAGCTGTAGCCAGACAGACCCTCCCCCCCATCTCATCCATCTTATTTGCCTCTCTGAGGTTCCTGAAGCATACAGGACAGAGAAGGAGCAATAAAATCAGCATAGTCTATGCTGGCTCATCTGATCCTGAGAAGCTGAAAACATAGATATGAGGAGAGAGCGATTAAGGCAATAAGCTGGCCTCGAGGCTGTGAGAAGTGCCCGGCTGGCGCCCATGTTGATACGAACACACAGCCATCACTGGGAGAGGAATCCCCCACTGAGAAAAGAATCTCCAGTACTTCCAATTTAATCCTCTCAACTCTCTCTTACAAGTGTAAATTAAGTTCACAACTCCCTTGTAAGAACTGGTCTCACAAAAGGCAGACCAGCACCATTTGGCATCACAGATAAGAAAGAGAAATACGTGACCCCATGGGTATAAAGATGGGTACAGCAGCACACTCACTTTTGAGTGTCAGTCTACCCTCTACCTGCTGGTCAGGTTAGGTGTTTGACCTCCCGAGGTTCTATGGGGACGCCCACCTCGTATTTTCGTCTTTCCTAGGAATTGAGGGACCGGCCCTGGCCTGACACGCTGGAGTCGAGAGGCACAGAAGGGGGTTAAAAATTGTACCTGGATGTGGTCCTCTGTTTTAAGTGTACACAGACTAAGAGCTCTTTAAAGGTTAAGCTGTTACTTG